ACCCAGAGTGGATAGTGCACTTTTTGAAAACTACTATAAATTTATTTCTGTATGCAGGTCATGTAAAAGTCATATCATTCCATAATATTCCTGATGAAACATTTGTATATTTCAGTTTTTACTTATGAGGAGGGCTGAAGGTATTTATGACTCAAATAAAAATTCAATATAAACCCATTAATAACTGTTTATTGTGTTCGATCCGATTGATTTAATTCGTAATTTATCATTTATCAGTGTGTGTGACGTAAAAAAAATAATAATAATACAAAAAGGTATGAGAATAACTAGGAAAATTCGATCGAATGAGAATAAATCATTCGTTATCAGAACCACTGTCGTCAGAATTAGTTCTGCCTCGAATTGTTTTTGATTTCTTGTTTCCAAAGAGTAGATTAGACGGCTTCTTTTCTCTGGTGGATTCAACAGGTCACCAGTGTATGATATTGCACTCGACTGGGATATTCTCCACTCTATCATCTCTGCGGAAAAATCGTCGCAATTTCCAACGATTTTTGTCTTTTGTCTTGTTGTCTGAGATGAGGGCTATCGTCGGAATTATTTTGATCCACATTATGGAAATAGCTTTAAGAAAACTTGGGCGGTGAAAGGTGTTCACTGCTGGATAAGCTCCTGTTGACGATTTCGGTTTCCTCTTAATCTCTCGCATTTTGTCTACCTTCACCTTTCGTAAATGCATTATCTTTCTTCGGGTCCAGAATTGATCCAGGAATTCATCGACTTCTGTATCTCGGAATAAGAACTTCTCAGCTATTTTCTGGACACGCAGGAGAATACAAATAAAAATCACAATTATCATTTAATAATTGTTTATATAATTGCTTAAATAATTACTAACGATTCTTCTTCAATTTCCGCAGCAGCTCACAGCCTTTCTCAGACAGTTCATGTAATGCTCTTTTATTCTCCTCGAGTTGGAGTTGCTTTGCTAGATTGACTTCGGCCAGAGAAAGATTTCCAGCGATCAGAACTTTCTTTTCAGATTCCAATTGTTTCAACTGGAAAACCTCACGAAAAGTTAGTAAGTGGCATATCTAATTATTATCCATTTATTGTCACCGATTAAATAATTCACCTGTTTTATGTCATTGACAACTTCCTCGAATCTTCCATCATCGTTCAATATTTCTCCCAAATCAGTGTTGCTGAGACGATTCAACATCGACAATGCAGCTAGAATATCCAGCCCCTGGTCCTGACTGTACATTTCCAATTTTTATTATGAATATTATAAATATATACACAGAAATTTAATTTTCGTCAGCTGATGACATCGATCACAACAATGAGCACTTGTGTTATTGAAAATAATATAATGACAGCAAAAATTATTGTTATGTACTGTTTTATTTAATTTCCTTCCATGGAAAAATCTTTTTTCCCATCCATTCCCATTTCCCATCCATTGACTTAGTGGATTAGGCCTACAGGGGATACCACGTTAAAAAAAACGCGTCAAAAACTCTACCTCTTAGGTGACGTGGAAAGAGTTTCACATTAATTACTTGATTTATAAAAAAATAGTCAATACTGGGTAAGAATCTCTCTTATTGAAATAATCATATACCCATTGATCATTTATGCTTTTGTAGACAATTTTTATGCCATAACTTTTTTTAGCGCCCTCCCATTCTTAGGGTGCAGTACTACAATGCCGCTGAGATCATTGAAACCACCAGAACTGAGCCTCTACTATAGTCAATCCTCTTTGCTCGGAACACTCAACCTCTCTAAACCTCTTCGGGTTGTGGATTGATTTTGCACTTGGTTCATCGCAGAAAAAGTCGGTTAATTGAAATTTCTTCAATAATGACAACACGAATTGTGCGGCCAGTGGCACAGATTGCTCGCAATGGTTTGTACTTCACCATTAATAATTACGTTCTTTAATGTTTGGAGCTGAAAATAACAGTTTTCATTACATAATGGGAACCGGAGCTTTTGGGAGGCATTTATTGAGGATGTGATTAATATTTCATCGAATTCGAAGACACACTTCTACTTGCACCTCGATCTTTTTTTTCCGCGATTGTGATAATTTTCTAACTTAATTTCTCAGGCGAACAGAATTCAATAGAATTTTGTCATAACCTAGCTATTTTAATCTCCGAAGGGACCAGCTCGAGTTTTCCTAGAATAAACAATTATTTTTTATTAGAACATGTAAGTGTAAATTACAAAAATAAAATTAATTTTTGTAATAGGTATTAATGTAGATCTTCGGTTACTCTTCTGGAAACGTCTTCAAATCTACGAGAGATCATGAAATTTCTACAGAATTTATTGGCCTTTTATCGATTTGAGTTTTATTTGATGATTTTTTAAAATAGGTGTCCGCAGGTATCATGGGGATAGCAAGCCTTTCAAATGGCCCAGCATGGATGAATGTGGTGTGCCCCAGGGTTCCTGGAAGGAGTACTACGATAAGAAGCAAAAGCTCTTCAACATGCAACTCGTTGGAGGTCTACTTTTCCTCGGGGGGGCCTTCACAGTCGTACGTCCAGAATAATAATATTTCTTTTTATTTCATCCAAATCAGAAATTAATGAAACGAGAGAAATTAATTACAATTCTTTCCATTGGTTTCCAGTTATGAAAGATGGAGAATTGTTTGATTGAATTTATCTGGGATTCTTTTAATGAATATTTTTTCTATGAATAAGAAATTTTTCGTTTTGTATTCTCAGGCCAGAATGAGTGGAGCTCTGTACATGAACTTGGGACCCAAACTTCCTGAGGGATATGTCCCTGTAAAATACTACGATTAAATTAAGAAATTGGAGCAGACGAACTTGCGAAATTAGATAATGTTAGAGCACTGTTGTACAGAAACATTAAGAAGCAAAAATGGTAGTGTCCATGAGTCGTATAAGTTTTATTGGCATTTTTGTCTGCCCTCTGTAATTCGTATACAGTAAATCATTTAAAACAAGTAACAAGATTAATGTCAACAATTATCTTTCCTTTTATTACTCCACCCCCACTATAAACTTGTGATCGAGATGAACAGAAGAAAAATTATGAAAATAATTTTTGCATGTTAATTGCATTCCTTATGTACAATAGAAACTAAATTCCAATTATTTACAATGCTTTATGTGATGAGTATTGTAACGTGATTTGAGAAGAGCCAATGCATAATTTTTGGTTTTTATTTATCATTTTTAATGGGATCTCGCTATTTCCGAGAAAAATTCTAGAATATCTTGAATTGTGAATTCCAAGGTCACGTTGCTGTCTGGATAACATCGCTGGATCAATTCCTCGATGTAAATATACTGGGCTATAAATTCCCCTTGCATTTCTCTCCAAACCACCTAGACACAATAAAAATCAATGACTTTAATACACGTAATTACAATTAATTAATAAAAAACATTGAAGCGTGCGCATACCTGCAGAAGATTTTCCTCCTCACACAGGTGTTTCTCCACTTTTCTATAAAGATTCTCCAGCCCCTTCTTCACCTCTCTGGCGGGATATTCCCTGACCACTCTCCTGAGCTCCTGTTTGCTGAAGGCCATTTGGTAACTGATCTCGGATTCCTTGACCCCGGCCCCGACCTTGGCCTGTACCCCCTCGAAGAACAAATTCAACTTCTCCAACGGCCTTCCAAAGTACTGAATCACGTACGCCTTCAACGCATCCTGATATTTCTGCTTGGCCTCCTTCCTCTCCTGATCCAAAACCGAAATTTTTAGTTGACTCAACAAATCATAAAGATGATGAAAATTCTCCATCTTGATGACTTCCTGCGGTGTCTTGGGGTGTTCGCTGCTATGAACACTGATTCCCTCGAACATAGCCCCGACGAGTTTCGTGTACCATTTATCGAGATCAACTTTTCTATCAGAATTCTTGAATATCTTTTCTCCAGCCCTGGCAAAGGGTCCAAAATTATCAACATATGGAAGAATGCCACATTTGTGTCTTCTATTGACTTTAGTATCATGAATGGATTGTAGTTGTGCCTGCATAAACTTGTCAAAGGCCCTCTTAACTTGCACCAGAGCAGAAGCAAAAGTCATCGACAGGAAGGATCCAGTGTCCTGGGCAGACATGACGTGTTGTGACAATCTGACCAGTACAAACATACACCAGAAAGAATCAATCTTATCCAGAAAGGAAATAAAATTATTCAACTCTGGCTCTAGACTCGGAAATATAGCAGACATGGTTGCCCTGACTTCCTCATTCACCTGCCTCTCGAGCTTTTTACTTGCAGTGGAGGTGACTGAACCCGGTGAGATAGCCCCACTGTTTTGATTCTCCATCTCTTCGTCACCACTCTTGGAAGGAGTCAGTGCCAAATCCAGCTGGAAGAATGTGACGCAGAATGCTTGCTCAGCAAGGCACACTGGTTGTAACTGAGACAGGGCTCGATCAAGAAGAGAATCTAGAAGTGCGCCTTCACCCTGAGGAGCCCACACCTCATTACTCAATAGACACATTGGTGCCGGTGTAATGAGATCCTCTCCCTTCTGATTACTCGACTTGGACGTGTGCTGGGGTCTCGTGCTGATTAGTCTCCCCTTGGCCTCCTCGAAGAAGAGTTTCAAGTCCCTCTGATACAATTTAGACATTGTCCCAGTGTAAACTTTACTCAACTGGGCGAATGCTTTATTATCGAGTGCCCTGAGAAGCTGCATGAGCTCGGTATAGGGTTCAAGTTCCCTGTGTACAATCGAGTGAGTGGGAAGAATGAGATCGGTGCTCGAGACGCCGGTCTCCCCGATGTCATTCCCCAGGTGAATAAAGAGATTATTCAAGTGCCTCGCCACCAGCAATGCAAACTTGGCCCTGAGCTTGTCGAGGCGTCTCTTCTGCTCGCTGACAGCAGACAACTTGTCGAGTCCTGGTGGCAGAGGGGCAGAGACCGCCTTCAAGAGTGCTGCTCCTGCCAATGAGAGCTCTTCCCGTCCCCCAGGGAGTTCAGCTTCACTGATAATATGCTGGTAGTGATTTGATATGTCTAATTGTGTTATTACAGCGTCCAGTTGATCAAGAAGGAGTCGAGCATTGTGATTGGCAGTGTGTATTGCCTGATTCTTCTCACCAACTCTGGCCATCACCTCCCTGATTCTACCAAGGGCCTCGTCGTAGACTGTGAGACGAGCCTCGACAATCGAGGCCTCAGTAATTGCAGCCTCGATGCCGTTCATCAGCTGAGTGACCTGGGGCTCCGATGCCAGAACCGACTGGACATTCTCACCATCCAGAATGGATAAGTCCTTCGAGAGGGTCTCCATGAAGAGCTCTGCGTTGGAGATGGCGTAGTTGCAGCCTGAGACGAGTGTCTCCAGGTCTGAGGCTTCTTTCTCTGTTATTGGTTGGTAGTCCGAGGAAATTGCTGGAGTCAGTAGATCTGGAGTGAAGGTGATGCTGTCACTCTCCTTGAGGGCTGTTGGGTCGATCAACCAGTCCTTAGGGATGTTCTTGAACTCGGGCCGTTGGGAGAGACTGCAGGAGTACGTGTAGAGATTACTGAGGAAGGTTCGACGTTCCTGGGCTGTTGTTGCTGACCATTTGTACATCTTGTCTATGTGCAACTCCATGTCCATCGAGTCGTTGTTCACACCATCCACCGTCTGGATATCGGTGAGGAGCCAGGACAGCTTCTTCTTGAAGACGTTCTTGTCATTCTTCTTGACTTGGTACAGGAGAAGAGAGCCCGGGGTGTCTGTCGTCGTTGCTAAGCAGAGAAAACTCGTTTTTTTCTTCTTATAGGCTTTCGAGACGAAACACACGCTCAGCAGTTTCTCGTCGCTTGGGGTGAAGACCTCCCGTTGAAGGGTATGACGAATTGCAGCCATTTTTCAAGGGTTGGAGATCATTCTTAGAAATCTGACATTCTGTATGATCACCTGGTTATTTCCCCGGAGATTAACTACACTAGGAACGTTTTTTGTCCGCTCACTTTTACAAAGCTTTTCAGAACCCGATGGGCGTTCTGATGATATCAATCCCTTCAGCCAGAAGAAACTGTACCTTTCCGATTCATAATTCGAGGAATTGGAAAATGGTTAGAAGCTCCTAACCTCACTAACCTTCAATCCGGTTAATTACATAATCCAGTGAATATTGAACCACAATTATTGACACTGTGTGCACAGACATTATCGTTCGATAAAATCCGTTGACTAATTTCGAGGATTTTAAAATTATGAAAGGGCTGTGAAAAATTGATAAACAGCAATACTTAAATTTGACAGCAGGTTTATGCTCACCAGAGGGACATCAAGAAGCGATCGAAGTGCCATCCCTTCCACAGGGTAATATTACATTCGGTTCAGGGTTGTCCCCCATCTCTCAGGTCTTCAGTCTGTGCTCGAATGAGTATTTAACTCTGTCAGTGCAACAACAACTCTAATTTGAAATTAAAAAAGGATAAACAACCGGTAAACAAGTTAAAAAACAGCTCCTTAAAGGTCCTCCCTTCAAAACATTATCCCGAAGATGCCATCATAACGAAAGAAAAATCTATTGAGTGCCATAACCAGAATGTTCAAATAATATCAACGAACAGTGTAAAAAAAACGTTACAAAAATGAGTGAATTTCGTTTGCATGCATTAATAACAGAGCTGACAGCTCTCCTGGGTTCATCAAGTGCCCCAGAAACATTGGTTAATGACGTGGAACAGGGGATCGCTGTGCCTGAAAGTCTCCCCTCGAAGTCCTGCCTGAAATACCTGGAAAAACATGCCCAGAGCCCTCAGCAGTTCATCAAGAAGTTCGAGGAGCTCAGAGAGAAGAAAGTGGACAGACTGGGGTCATTCCTGCAGGTGATACACTTCATAGCTTCTGACAAGCATCTGAAGGAGTACTTGAGTAAGCACTGCAGGCCAGTGGAGAGTAGACTCTCGACTTGTGATAAAATAACTGCAGAAGATCTCCCTCAAATCCAGAAGAATGTGATGAAGGCTGCTGTCGAGGGTGAGAGAAAACTCATCAAACAAGCCAATGCCTTGAGCAAGAGAGGAGGTGATCCTGACCTGGCGAGACACAATTGGGTGACCGAGAGGCCCAGGATATCCTGGGACTTTCACTCAGAGTCCTTGAATCCTTATCAGAAGGTCGTCCCTGCAGTCTCCCAGGAAGCGATCCTCTTGTGGGATCTTCTGCACTGCCTCAAAGGCATGAATGGCTCCTACATCGTAGCCGAACCTCTCACTGGCCCCTACGATGTCAAGAGTTTTGTCATTTCCGCGGATGTCGGGACATCTTATAAACAATTGGCTCAGCAGATTCTTCCTCTCGCCAGTTATTATTCTATGACTGTCAGATTTGTCGAGGAGAAAGTCCACGCCGATGATGGACAGGTGAATCACGCCCTGCGAGGTGCCCTCAGTTGTTTACTCAAGGACTACCTCCTCTTCATCGTTCAACTGGAGATGGAACACAGACGAGGTAAATTGAATCTTCAGAAACTCTGGTTCTATATTCAACCGACAATGGCAACCATGTCCATTCTCTCTCAAATCACCTGCACCATCTGCAAGGCCAGAGCACGAGGGGGAAAAGTTTTGTCGTTGCTCTACGAACAAGTCAGCAATATGAGTGGCGAAGCCAAGTGCAAGGAGCTCTGTCTTTTTCTCATCCAATCAGCCAGTGTTCCCTACATGCAGATCCTTGAGAAGTGGGTCTACAAGGGGGTAATCTGCGATCCCTACCAGGAGTTCCTCGTCGAGGATAACGAAATTATCCAGAGGGAAGACCTGCCTGTCGATTATTCTGCTGACTACTGGGAGAAACGGTACACCATGCGGTCAGAGAGAATTCCAGTATTTCTAAATGAACATGCTCACACTATTCTGAGAACTGGAAAATACTTCAATGTTATCAGGCAGTGTGGAAAGACTGTGCAATGGAGAAAGCAAGAACCACTAGTTTATAGGTACAGAGATCAAAAATACATATCAGCCATCGATGGAGCATATTCAGAAGCTGCCAGGACTCTCCTAGAAGTTCTAATTCATGAGAACGATCTCATGGGAAGACTGAAGAGCGTGAAGAATTATTTCCTCCTCGCCCAGGGCGACTTCGTCGTTCAATTTCTCAATCTCTGTGAAGCGGAATTGAGTAAAAACATGTATGACATCGTTATCCACCGGCTGGCGTCCCTCCTGGAGGTCGCCCTGAGGACCTCGACAGCTGATTCAGATCCCTACAAGGACGATCTCAAGCCTGAGCTTTTACCCTTCGACCTCGAGTATCAGATGTTCAGGATTCTGTCGATTCAGACGAGCGATGAGAGGGAGTACTGCGCTCAGACTGGCAAGACACTCACTGGGATGGAGGCTTTCTCCTTTAATTACGATGTCAAGTGGCCTGTCTCATTGATTATCAACAAGAGAGCCATCGCCTGCTATCAGATGCTCTTCAGGCATTTGTTCTATTGCAAACACGTCGAGAGACTGTTGTGCAGGGTTTGGATGAGCAATAAAATAGCCAAAACTTTCACTCATGATGTTGCTATGGCTTACAGACAGGCATTCTCCTTGAGACAGAGGATGCTCGACTGCGTTCAACATTTGGAGTATTATATGATGGTCGAGGTTATTGAACCTAATTGGCTGACGTTTATTAATAAGATGAATAAGGTGAAATTTTTCGAGGATTTATCATTGCGTAATTCTATCATTATCACTGTGGTCTTATTTTTATTTGGTACAGGTGACCAACGTTGATGATGTCCTCAGCGTCCATCAGGATCTTCAGGACAGTTACTTGAAAGAGTGCATGCTGACAGATCCCGAATTATTATCCTGCATCACTGGCATTTGTGGGGCTTGCATGCAATTCTGTGACTTCATGCAGGTAATTCCCAATAAAATGTCATAAAAAATTTTCTTGCATGGTTTTTACAGGTGTACAGTATCACCGAGAATACTAATATTGTATAGAAATATTCTGACAGCTACTTCAATGATATTTTTCAATTTTTTTGGTACTGAAAAATGAAACTCTTTGAATTAATAATATTAACAATTTGACAAGCGTATGAGCCGATATTACATTGACGCTGAACTGACATCCATGATCGACGAACACCACGAAGAACACTATGAACACGAGGTATTATCAGGAATTTCAAATTTCGGTGTTAACATGCATTAGAGATAAGATTAGGGGCATCAGAGCTTGCATAGAAGTGTTAGAATAGTTTTGACATCTCGCATGTACTTTTGATTCGGTGACATTGATCATTTTTATGAGAAAATCATGTTTGGAATTTATGATCATGTATGTTTGATTCAATCTCTAATTTGTGGACAGCGAAATCCTGTAAAGTCGCACCTTTCGTCGATTTTTCCTTTCGCGTATCTTTCGGTTCCCCGATTCTACTACCTCCGGACTACAAGACGTGAACAATCCAAAAGTAAAAAAAAAGTGAAATCTATTGAATACATTTTTTTAACCGTGTAGAAATAGCAGAATGTGGTAATTGATGGAATTCCTGGAGTTTTTCAATTGCTTGTTGCATTAAAACCATTTTTTTTCATTCTACTGACCCTTTCATATTTTTCACAACTGAGATTGTAATAGTTAATGGATTTTATCTGTCAGGACCACAAGACAAAGCCCAGCAGCACAGGTGGCAGCTTTGAGGAAACGATTGAATCGCTGGACGCCAAATTCACAGAAGTATTAACTCGATTATTGAATAGAATCTGTGATCTAGGCTGTGACAACAACAATGAGAAGCTATTGAACGTACTATGCAGGTAAATAGTCCAGTCGATTTATTTATATTCCTAATCCTACAAATAATTAATTACATCCTGATATCAGACAGTAAAATATAATTGAATATTTTTATAGAATGTATATTGTCGTATTTCAGATTGGACTTCAATCTCTTTTACACTGATATCCTGGTCCGACGAAATGCGGAAAAGACAACTCATCCCCAGGACGTCTCGGGCTAATGTCACAAATGTTAAACAACAAACAAAAATTTAAAAATCTCTAAAAAAATGGTAAAATTGAAATTCTGATCCGCTTATCACTCGTTAACAAGTACAAATTTATGCAGATGCGTCTATTTTTCTGGATGAACACTGTGTGCCATTCACTTCTCAGATTAAAAATCACACTGACGCCATATCAATGCCCTTTCACTCGTGAAATAATGTATAATAACAATGAGATTATTTTTTCTTTTGTAACAAAATTCGGGATAAATACAAGTATTAAATCCTCAAGAGGGAAATGTGTTTATGATTTGAGTAGATGATGCCAGATAGAAAATTCGATGGATTCAATTTCCATCATCCTCTGGAACAGCCCCCACGTCGTCACCCTTCAATTCTCCCATTAATTTTCTTTCCATCCTCAGCAGACAGCTCCTGATATCCGCCAATTCCTGCATCACCGTCTGATACTCACTGACTTTACTCCTACTCCTGAGAATATCCCTAGCCCTGTTAACAATCAGTGAATCCATCGTCAAGTCCCTGCAGCTCCTCTTAGCCTCGACCCCCTGAAACCTGATCTCATTTCCTTTGTAAGGTTTAACGCCGAGTTTCCCCTGCATGAGACACCTCGGGAACAAGAGAATCCTCCTGCTGACGAATCCCAAGATATCCATCCCCTTTCTCGGACAGGAAAAGCAGGACTTGCTGGACCTCAATCTGGTGCCCACAGCCACCCCCTCAGCATATGCAACGAGTTGAGTCCTGGAGATGAGGCCCACAAGCTCAGCCTTCCCTAGGATATCAGCAGTGTCACTCACAGCTAGTCCATTCAGAAGATTGAACAGAACAATAGCGATGAGAAAAACGAAGAGAATAAAAATGGCATGACTCAATCCAGGTCTCGATACGAATGGAATATCTGAGGCGTCGAACTCCCCCGTCAGCATGATAATAGTCTTGAAGAGGGCATGCCCAGGGTCCGAGAAATTATCATCCCCAATGTCCTTGAAGAGAGTGACAAACGCCAGTGCAAAAGCTAAAATCAAAAAGGCATACAGAAACAAGAACTTGATAAAATTCCAAGTGACAGTCTTGAACATCTCAATGCCAGTGGACATCTTGGGGTGTTGTCCAATGAGAATCACGAGTTCCCAGGCAGAGAGGAGAATGACCAGTGCCCCGACCTGTCTACCCGCCCCGGAGAGTACCGCCGCTGCGAGGACTATCAAAATCATCTCCAAACAGTTCTCGGAACTCATTACATAGTGCCTGGGGGAGGAGAGGAATTGTAGGACTTCTCGGATTGTGAGACCCACAAGGAAAACGGCTGTGAGGCTCCAGAGGCCGTCCTGTTGGCCCCGGCTAGTCAGGATCGTCCGGACTGACGACTTCGATCCGTTCGTGTTCTCAATCGTGGCCTCCAGGTTTGCTGGGTTGTAGTTTAACAGGAGAATATAGCAGTTGATGAAGATGTAGAAGAAAACGTAGAATGCGAAGTTAACGTAGAGGATATGACGTATTTTGTGCCATTTGAGGTGGAGGAAGGAGGAGATGACGGGGTGCTTCAGCAAGTGCTTCAACGTCGAACTCTTGGAGAGATACAACAGTATCTCCATCTCCGGGGAGTGAGTGGCCTTCCTCTGGGCTCGGGAGTGTTTCGGGAGGAGGGTCTGGCGTGTTTCTTCCGGGGGACTATCCACCGTGTGCGGCATCAAGCACTTGTAGTCGAATTCGATCTCGTAGTCGTCCGTTTTATCACTTCTGCTCTTCAAACAGGAGTCCAGGTGGTCCTCCAGGATTTTCGGAGAGATGTGGGCGATGGGAGGCACACCGAAAGCATTTGTGTGCCCAAGATAACTGCCGGCCTTGAGTAGAAGATCCACTGCCTCAGCATCCTCTGCCCTGGCTGCATAGTGCAACGGACAATTCCCTTTTTCATCTTCTATTCGGACTTGCACGTCCGGATGCTCCAGCAGCAGCTTCAGGCATTTTATCCTCGAGTGTTGCTCTACACCGAATCTACAGGGAACTCCCAACTCCTGACATGCAATCATCAGGACTTCGTTCTCGATTTTGACGCCCGTTTTCAGGAATTCCCGGAGGAGCTCGTGGTGTGCTCTCCTCACCACCACCTCCAGAGCTGCTCTCGGAATACTTCCGTGTTCTCTTCGTCGCAGGAGTTCGGTCACAGCTGCTTTCAGATTCCTCTCGGCTGCTATAACGATGAGCTTGTCCTCACCGTCCAGTCTCGGGGCCCCATACTCCTCGAAAGTCTTCAGATTCTCCAGGAAGTGCGCCTCGTCGTTGGCGTCGAGGTAAAATCTCAACGTGTTGAAGTCCACGGGTTTGTCCCCTGGGGGAGGGAGCGACAGCTCTGGAAATTTATCGGTGATAATCTCTCGGGCCGTTCTCTTCCGGAAGTCTCGGAATGTATCGATGTCTGGGGAGAGTCTCGACTGGGTCATAATGAGGTCTACCATATCTCGATTGGAGGCATTTGCTGCTGAGTGCAGGGGGGTGATGCCTCTGGAATTTGGAACGTTTGGACTGGAATTGTTCTCCAGGAGGACCTTGGCACACTTGATATCATTGTTTTTCACAGCGAAGTGAAGGGCAGTTTCCCGGCTTGCCTCCAAATTTGGATTGGTCCTTGGGTCCTCGAGGAGGGCCAGGATGACGTCATGATGAGAGGACTCCGTGGCGAAATGAATTGGGGCGCGATGGTGCGAGTTGTTTATCTTGTTTGGAGATGCGCCGAGGTCGAGGAGCAGTTGGACGAAAGCTGGACGACCTTCGCTGCAGGCTATATCGAGAAGAGTCTTGTTTATGGGGTATGGGTATGTATAATCTATTGTGATACTTGGTGGGCGCTTCTCCAGGCCCTTCTTCAGGAGGCTCTTGAAGACTGCGTAGTGGTTCGCCTGGAGGCTGTCTAGGAGGATCTTGTACAGACTTGGGCTCTCGTTCCGGAGGGTTTGCATTTGGAAAATCTCCTCTTCAGGTTCCATCTTTACTGCAAGCTGAAGAGCCAATTCCCTTTGAATATATACTAATAATTTCTTTGCAATAATTTTTTCTAATCCCCTATAATTTTTTGAGTCTTTCTCCTGAATGTTTTTATATAGATGTTCTCTATTTTTATATATTATTTATCCAACAACATTTTGATTCTCGATATTTTTTAATTGCGACTCAATTGTTTGAATGAAAAATTCAGGTTTATCCTTGTACGTTGAAAATTATTTTTCATTCCGTGAGATGAAAAAAGAAAAAAAATTCTCAACAGTGCATTATTAAAATATATTCTTGATAATTAACTCCGAATTTGGGTTTGAACAGAGGGAGTGCCATTGGATCAAGCTGAGATGACGTGTACATCTGGTTTACGTGTGAATTCACGCGTGGGCTGTGCACGGCCGTGACAATGATGTCATCACTGAGGGCCAGACGTCACGATTGAGTAGCCATGACTCCACAGGTACCATCACTCGAAAATCCAAACAAGCAATACCAGACCAAAACTCCAACCCAGTCGAATTGCCCAAAAAAACTTCATCACGCGGGGGCTTTCGCACAATTAACACCGGAAGCATCAATTTCCTGCTCGACACTATTAAATTGGTACTCAACATCGCACGCCGAATTATGAAATACAAAATATTATTTAGAATGCAATTCCATAATTTGGTATTCCCTATTTGGAATGCAGTCTGAATGCAATTTTGAATGCAGTCTAAATACAATTTTGAATGCAATTTTGAATGCAATTTTGAATGCAATCATCAGCAGCTCGAATCCCCAAAAGGCCAAGAAGTACCTGATAATTTATTTTTTTACCTGATTGGCCTGAATCGGTATTCCCACATCCCTCAACCCCCGACATGAAATGACAGAAAAAAATCGCAAGATCAATTACTTACATTTATCAAATCTTGACAGCTGCAGTTCCCGAAATTATTCGACGGAAAATAAATTTAAAGTTGTGGGGCCATTGGTGCTGACCAGACTGAACCGCTACAAGCGGTCATCTATGCCTTCGCTTTGTGTCTCTTTTTATTTTTCTCTTTTTTACTTCTCCGAGTTACTCCTCCACTTGTACAGATCCCGGAGTGGGGGATTACCGTTAACCCCGTGTTTGGTGCATTTTCCAGGTATCCAGTTGGAAAAAGATGGGAAAACTAGCTTTCTACGATTATTCGTCCGATCTATAATCGATTTTCTTCATTTCCTATTACAATTTTCACTATTTCCACAAATTGATCATCTGGAAAATTGATTGAAAAAACTTTACACTCGTTTTAAGTTCTGTGATAATAATTTTCCTTATCTCTGCACTGATACTAATAATTATAATATAAATTATAGAATAGTACTGGAAGATCCTCATCAGGTATTTCCTGATCAGGTCAGCTTCTACGGACGTCGGAGGAGTCAAAATGTCAAAATGTCAAATAAACCCTCGAGAGGAAAACTCCCGTCTATCATAATTCCCATTATAAATAATTATTACCGTTATTATTAATATAATAAAATATAATAATGATAAAAATTTTAAGTATGAAAGAGTCCTGGAAAATCATGATCATATTTTCAATGATCTATGGTGATCCTGGACCGATCCTGAGGGTGAAACCCGCGGTTCAACCCTCAGCGGGCATAATTTCTCCTCCCAGTCGTTATTATTATAAATAATAGTAAACCTTCTTCAAATCTTAACCAATTGGAAGGGCGAAAAATGGCGATGCGCGCGCGGATGCTCTTGGAGGGGTGCGGGTTCCGTCAACCGGAGAGTGGAACAACGCGCGATCCACCAAGTGGATCAGTGATTACTGACCGTTCCTGGTTGGACAACCGTCAACAATTGCTGCTCAATCATTCCGCGAAACCCATTGTTATTGCACTCGGTTTGAATTTTAAGATCGTATATCGGCTTCGCTCAATTTCTTCGGGAAACTGTGACACAATTCGGAGAAAAGATTTTTATTTCCAGGATCATCTTTCGTTTCGGTAAGTCCAGCCCATATCACTATCCATTCGTCATTCGCATCTATATTCATTTAATATTCACTTGTAGTTATTATTTATTATTTTATTATCAATATTGTCGTTTAATCCAATTTTTTTTATTCATTTATTTGACTTATGAACTTCAGTCATTTGAGGAAATTGTTTTCCCGCGGTTTCAATTTTTCCAGGAGATTAAAATTTATTCAGAGATAATCCCCGTTTACGTTTGAATATTTATTTATTTATAAACAATTAATTTGATTGTACGTGAGTTCCACAAAATAATGACAAGTGTTAATTGGAATGTGCAAAATCTTTGAGTTCGAAAATAAAAATGACGGAATTGTAATTAGTCGACCTTAATGAGAGGAAAATAAAATCCAATCGCACTGTTAGTGTTTTTCGAGTTGTGTAATAGGTCTTACAGCGTATTTACGAGTATGAGTGGCCTTAGTCCCCGATGCGTTAGATATTTCTTCGAATAACGATGTAAATGCATGTGAAGGTAAAACGTCAAAGATGGAAATGAAGTTGTTGTATTGGTGGTGTAAATGAATCACAGTGCCTCCAAGTCTAATTGCGTTAAATCAATCAACTGGCATTTACGCGATTTCCATGTGGAAATGACAAAAAGAGTCGGTCATCTTCAGAGGAGATGCTGGAGAATAGACCGACAAAATTTTGTTGGAAAATTTTGCGAATTTCGTGTCTTGCCTTTTTAGCTCAATTCAATTTATCTAATTCTTCGCTCCCTCGATCTCCCAGGCTTTCATTCCCATTTCAGGATAATGGTATTCCACGTGCAAACCCGTATTTATCGATGCCAAGAGATTCGTCATTATACATTTATTCCACCTGGAATGATTTTTTACGTTCGATATGTCTCTACCATTTTTGGAAACTCGCGCCAATTTTCATTCTGACGAACGCACTTGTGCACTGAGATAAACATTTATTTTCAGCAAGAATTTATGTAATTGAGAGGACTATGTATTTACAATTGAATTTTCATTTAATCTCCTCCAGCACATGAAATTGTGCGATGAAAAGAGAAATTATTTCTCTGACAAATTCTTGAGTCAGCGAAATTTCTAAAATCTCTAATTTTGTTAAATTCTCATTGAAATTTCTGTCTGCAATTACTTCGTCTGGTTTTAATGAATTTAATTAGAGGCCGCAATTTTTTTAGCAAATGAGAGAGAAATGGTGAAATTGTGAAAAAGTCGCAATCATTTCCGAGGGCTAGGAGTACATGCTCGTTATATAAAATTGTTTCATGTGAAATCAGGGGAAATTGCGGGTTGAGGTGCTGGTAATTTATGGACATTCTCACGATCGGTGGATTTTGCTGCCCCAGGATGTCTGAGACCTTGCGATTCGTGGGTATCAATAACCAGTCGCCTTTGAATGCCACCTACGACATGTCCTCAGACGTTTCGTGTCGCAAATCGAGTTTTCATCGACATTGACAAGCTCCCAAGGTCACCCAATTGTTTATTACAAATTTCAAATTTTTTTTCGATTTTTACCGGAATTTATTGTAAGAAAAATCTAAAATATAAAAGGATCGGTCAATTCTTCGATTTTTTATTCTCAATTTTAAAAATTAAATTATTATTATTATTATTATTATTAAAAAATCACTATTTAAGAATTTCACTTGAAATTTCAGTCCCAATAAAAAAAAAATTCCCGAAGATAAATTGACATGAATTAATTACCGATTTTCTCAGAATTTTAAATTGAAAATCGAATCGTAATTGATGATCAATTAAAAGATAATTAATCAATCAGTGAGCATTCAACACGAAAAAAAATATCTCTTGGGCTTTCAGGATGAATGAGTGAATGAGTTCGATTGAAATGGGATTCAATAATTGATGTAATTGAAAAATCGGATCATTGCGATGGAAGTTCCAATAAATTGATAACATATTTTTTTGATAATCGTCTTCACTTGATTCCGGGGGATTTTAAAACGGATCTGGCCTGATTGGTGGGCGAAGGTAGAGCCAGTCATGGGCATGGGCTTATATGGATGCCTATGACTCGATCTGCACCTCTGACCAGGGATATATTTTCGAGGCCGTCTCTGTACGCGCAATTGCACAATTTGAGACGATTCCACAGCATCGCTTGTTCCTGGCAACAATCAGTTCTAACCGAACGATAAATAATTCATTCCGAAAAATTTATAATAAAATTATGAGAATCGAATATCAATTAATGAATTCATTGAATTCATTGAATTCATCAAATTCATTAATGAATCAATAATGAAAAGTGTTAATTCATTAATCCATAACATTTATAAAATTTTAATTCATGAATTCTTTAAATGAAATAATTTTCGGACATAAAAAGTTTATAATTCAAAAAACTCCAATGAACAAGTGACTTCACTACAATTAAATTGCAATTCTCAATTACAAGACAAATTCAACTTCAGAATAAAAAATGAAAAATTGATTGATCGAATCTCGTCCCGTAGAAGATCTGTCTTAGGATTGAATTTGGCTGTTCAACCCATCAAGAATAAAAAGGAATTTCGCCGAATAAAATTCATCGGCCAGTAAATCCGAAATATTTCCTCGGACCGTGGAGAGTCGTTAGAACTCATTGAGTAGTATCGATCGATCGTTCGTGATCCACTTTCATGCTTTACATTCGACACACATATCATTCGATGGTTATACCCCGACCTTGCCCCAAGGTCCACCCTCTCCACGACTTAAATCCAAATAATCTTCCAGGGATTCCCACCTGAATTCTGAAATAGGAGAGACATGGGTGGAATGACTCAGAGATCGTGGACTCCAACTAAACGCAGGGGTCCAATTGCTGCTGAATTTGGAAGTCCTGGACCAGCTTGCGTCACCCTTCCACCACTCATAGGCAAGCAATTGAAAATCTCTATAATTAATCTCATTGAAACCCACTCGAGTAGATAATTGACGCGTGGCTTTCCTCATCTATTATCACTCGAGTTGTTCACCGAGAGAAACAAATCGTCCACTACTCCTCGAATAAATGATTTCACAAATCGAATAGTTGATCTCTCCCTCAATTTTTCCTCAGGTAAAACTGTTCCAGATTCAAAAAGAGGCAGAGCCCCTGCGTTTTCGTTCGGCAGCAGGTGAATAAATCTCATAATTTAATTCCAAATATTAATTGCCCCTGTTTACTTCATAGTACTAGAGGTACCAGCAATTACCTTGCGATTAAAATCTGATCAATTAATAATTGTTTATGCAGACATGCACCGAAGAATGAGAGCCCTGGCCCGGGTCCAGGTCAATACAACGTATCCGGACTCAATGCAAAAGGTAAGGATTCTTCTGAAATTGTTAATTGAGTCAGTCTCCTAATTAAGTCGGGGGAAAAAATCGAGACCTGGGGCTTTGGCAAATGCCAGAAGATTCCAGGGGACTTTCACATCGTCGATGTATCGATCAAACACGTTTAAACCCCGCAAACATAGCCATACACATCCGCAGGAATGACAGGCACTCGTTAACTTCACATGCCATCGATATACTTCTCCTTTCAGCTAAAATAAAATATAAATAAATAAGCCAACGTCTGGTTTATTTAAACTGAAATCTAAAGACTCTGCGCATCTTAATTGACGATTACATTTACCTCTAATATATTCATCTAATCACGTAATTACTCTAATTATTTTTTATTTTATTTTTTATCAGTAGAAAATTCCCTTCAATATGCAATATGAAATTGTTTATTTTTACCGAATATTTATAGAGATGTCTGTGTGGGATCATCTGGGATTATGAGAATAGAAAAAAATATCTAGATATCGCTGGAATAGTAATTGTTTGAGGGGAAAATATTATGTGGATTAATCTTGGAAGTCAATCCGAACGTTGCGAATCGGAAAGTTGCGAAATTTTATAGCTAGTTCCGGGCAAATTGATTTTAGGTAAAGACAAAGCCCCAGCACTGTCTCTTCATGGTCGTACCCATAGTGACAAGATTGAAAGTACCCCAGCACCTGGGGATTACGATCCACAGAAAGCCGAGAAAATAATTCAAGACAGCTCACCGAAGTACTCGTTCGGAATAAAAACACAGGTTGAAAAAATTAATAGCACGCCAGGTAAAGAATTTTTTTTCTACATTCAATAATTTATTTTCATTGATAATGGATATTACAGATATTATTTAATTATATTTATTAAACATCTCAGGAATTCATAATAAATCATGAATATTCCCACAATTTCCACAATCCCACAAAACTCATAATAAATTTTTTTATTTTTCAATTGCGCAATGTTTAGATAATAGTGAAAAGCTATTAAATTATTTATTTACATTGATAATCAATATTATTGATATTATCTATATTTTTCTTCTGCAATTATTCCCCTAATTTCCACAATCCCATGAAAATCGTAATGGATTTTTTCATTTTTCAATTTTAATCGACGACAATTAATTAAAAAAACCAATGAACAATCAGCACCCGGTGATTATTGCGCTGAGAGCGTAATCCTCGACAAAGCACCGCAATACACGTTTGGCATGCGACACCCTGGGGAAAGGCGTAGTGACACTCCGGGTAAATATTAAAAACAAAAACTAACGCCAAAAAAAAAAACGATTATTAACACATGATCATTACTCGATTATTCCGAAGATCTATGAATAAGTCTCTGTTACGTATGACGCGGAATTGATGGGTTGATATTCGATTTATATAATTCAGAGCGCAGTTTAACGGATCATCGGTGGTGGAAGACGTTATGAAACTGGCATCATCTCTATTCAGGGTTTGGTATACCATATCATTCATTAAACCTGCTTTCATACTTTTATTTATTGCACCTCTTCCTGCCGAAATCTCCAGCTGACTTCCCTAAATCGCTCATCCACCCCCTGTCATCATTAATTAACGAATTTTCCAGCTTCGAGTGAATATTTTCTATTTCACGTGGGATTCGATTCAAGAGAAAACATTCGCGATGTCAATTGATTTTTAATAATATTTATAAATAATGAGATAGATTTGGTGGTTTGGAAATTTTGAGTTTTGATGTGAATAATTATTTTCTCTTGAATCATTTAATTCGTGTTACGATTGAATGCTTGAAGTAGATTATTTGATGTTTAGCCCCTGGGTCTTACTACCCAGAAAGATTTAAGTTGGGTAGAACTCCAGAATTTACCTTTGGTCGTAGACTGTCTCTCGGTAAAATCAGTGATACTCCAGGTAAATTAATTTACTCACATTCTTCAAAGTAGAGATAGATTAGTCTCCAGTTAGATCGACGTAGATCCGCCAGGTTTGAAGGAATTTAACAGAAAAACTCAACACTTTCTCTTAAAATATTTTATTTGACATTAGATCTCGAAATTTGTACAATAAATTATCAGGAGATTATCCTGTACATGAAAATCTGAGAATCCAGTGAAACGTCATTATAATTTTTTTGAGGAATCGCTAGGTTTTTCTATAAATTTTTTAAATAGGGCTGTAGCTGTAGAACAGATTATTCATATTTTCATGTAGATTTGAAGTATTTTTTTAAACCGCGCATTAATCCAGCCCCAGGATCCTACTGCCCTGAGAAAGTTAATCTGGATCATCAGCCACAGTACACTTTTGGTTTGAGAACTCCATTCAATAAGCCCAACGACACTCCAGCCCCTGGAACGTACTGTCCAGAGAGAGTTAATTTGCATAAAGGTCCAGAATTTAGTTTGAGTGGAAAGGGACTGTCAGGGAAACCGAATGACACACCAGGTATTGTTCATCGGGAAGTTCCAGTTTTCTCTTCAACAATTCATTTCACGTCTTTTTTTCCGATTATTATTATTCAGCACCGGGTGCCTACAGTCCCGAGAAAATAAATCTAGATCACCAGCCACAATACTCCTTTGGCCTCAGAACACCTCTGGACAAACCCAGTGATACTCCAGCTCCAGGCGCATACTGTCCTGAAAAAGTTAATTTACACAAGGGTCCAGAGTACAGTTTAAGTGGAAAAGGTCATTCTCCAAAATCAGAAGACACTCCAGCGCCTGGAGCGTACAGTCCAGAGAAAGTAGATCTGGATCATCATCCCCAGTACAGCTTTGGCTTGAGAACATCTCTGGAAAAACCCAGTGACACTCCAGCTCCAGGAGCTTATTGTCCAGAGAGAGTGAATTTGCACAAGGGTCCGGAGTACAGTTTAAGTGGTAAAGGTCTTTCTCCAAAAGCGGAGGAGACTCCAGCCCCTGGAGCGTATGCACCGGAAAAAATTAATCTACACCGAGGGCCTGAGTACAGTTTAAGTGGAAAGGGGCACTCTGAAAAATTGAGTGACACACCAGCTCCAGGGGCCTACTGTCCTGAGAAAGTCAATTTACACAAGGGACCAGAGTACAGTTTAATTGGAAAAGGTCACTCTCCAAAATCTGAAGACACTCCAGCACCTGGAGCGTACAGTCCCGAGAAAGTAGATCTGGATCATCATCCTCAGTACAGCTTCGGCTTGAGAACACCTCTGGAGAAACCCAGTGACACTCCAGCTCCAGGAGCTTATTGTCCAGAGAGAGTGAATTTGCACAAGGGTCCAGAATACAGTCTAAGTGGAAAAGGTCTTTCTCCAAAATCAGACGTGACTCCAGCTCCTGGAGCTTATTTTCCAGAAAAAATAAATTTCCACAGAGGCCCTGAGTACAGTTTAAGTGGAAAAGGTCTCACAGAAAAACCGAATGACACTCCAGCTCCAGGGGCTTACTGTCCCGAAAAGATCAATTTGCACAAGGGACCAGAGTACAGTTTAAGTGGAAAAGGTCACTCTCCAAAATCAGAAGATACTCCAGCACCTGGAGCGTACAGTCCCGAGAAAGTAGATCTGGATCACCATCCCCAGTACACCTTCGGCTTGAGAACACCTCTGGAAAAACCCAGTGACACCCCAGCTCCAGGAGCCTATTGTCCAGAAAAAATAAATTTGCACAGAGGTCCAGAGTACAGTTTAAGTGGAAAGGGTCACTCTCCAAAATCAGACAACACACCAGGTAAAGCATTCAACTCGCTTTCACCCTTATCCCTTGAATAATTTCTCAATCACATTTTTTTATTCCTGAAAAAAGCTCCAGGCACATACAGCCCTGAAAAAGTGCATTTGGATCACCCGCCCCAGTACACTTTTGGCTTGAAAACACCTCTAGAAAAACCGAGTGACACCCCAGCCCCTGGAGCTTACTCTCCAGAAAAAATAAATTTACAGAAAGGTCCTGAGTATTCCCTCAGTGGAAAAGGCCCTTCCGTGAAGCCCAATGACACTCCAGGTTTGATAACAAGCGAAATAATAATGTAGTATTAGAGGAATGGAGTAAAGGGTAGATACTAGAAATTAACTCAATGAGTAAAAATTTATTACTGACCATTAGGCCCGGGTGAATACTACCCCGAGAAAATAAAAAGTCTGGATCATATGCCTTATTACAGCTTTGGTAACAGAACTCGACTGAGTAAACATAAAGATACTCCAGGTAATGGTGTTTACTAACCAGTGACTAACTACGCCCTCCGAAACAACATTTTACATCTAATTACTTTTAAGTAAATCCTCAGTTAGTTCATTCAATAATTATTATAAATGGGGCTTTGCATTTTTTCATTGAATGTCCGGATAAATCCCTCCATCAATATTATACAATAATTATCGAATAATTTTGATTATTGCAATCATTTCAACGGTCTATCAGTTTTTCCTTTACATTCGGTGTGATGTAAGTCAATGTAAGAAAAATCTCAGGAGTTAGAATAGAATAGAATAAAAAGGGAAATCGGATAAATTCGTGGTTCGCCAAATATTTTTTAAGACAACAATGAAAATATCATGCAAAACCCCAGCTGTGCATTTTTGTAAACCGTAGAATTAATCTCAGAATCTGAAAAAATTTTTAGCACCTGGTACATACTCACCCGAAAAATCCTGCACACATCTCGATGGTTCACCTAGGTACAGCTTTGGCGTAAAACACTCCCCCTATCAGTCGAATTCTTTTCCAGGTGAGGGAATTCCGGATGCATGAGAGAATTTAGTCGAGAAATCTGAATATATCTTTAGTCTTGAACTTAAAATTAAATATTGTTACTGAAATCTAGCTCCGGGTTCATACTCTCCTGAAAAATCCAAGATCGACAGTTCACCTCAGTTCAGTTTCGGGATGAAAACTCAAGTGGAAAAGCTCAGCGATACGCCTGGTAATTACTGTCTAGATGAAAGCTTCTATTTATTTGCACATTAGGTAGAAAATATTTAGAGAATGTATTTTTTAGCTCCTGGAGTCTATTCCCCTGAGAGGGTGAATTTTAGCAGAGGACCTGAATTCAGCTTGAGTGGCAAGCACATTGTGGATAAATCTGCAGATGTACCAGGTAAAGATAATTCATTAGATCGTTCTAAAAGCGGCAATTCCCTGTAGTTAATTCACTAACAAAGTGATAAATCGAATGCAATTATTTATAATTCCTTTCAATATCGATTTAAATCACTTCATCCCTTTGCTATTCAATTAGTTTAGATGAAAATTCTATCGTACTTGTTTTAAATTGAAGGACCGGGCCACTATAGTCCAGAGAATGCGAAATTAATCTGGGAAAAAGCCATGCAATTCACGTTCGGCTTGAAGCCACCCATTAGCAAAGACGAGAGCACTCCAGGTAATTCGGGTGTAATTATCGTCCACCTTTTGTCAGGGATTGTGGAAATTTTTATTTATTAAAAAAATTGAATTACTTTTGGAAGAATATTATTGATCGGTTTTCTATTTTCATCTCGAAGCTCCAAATGTCTATACCATCCCCTCAGCCCTCGGTGGTACCAAGGAAGGAAACAAAAAGACAGCACCTGCCTACTCGATATCAGGAAGACAAAAAGTATTCACAGACGACAGAGTACTCGTCCCAGGACCCGGGGCTTACGAATCCATCAGAACTGATATCGTCAGGGAAAAGAGTGCGGCCTACAGTATAAGCGGACGTTATCAAATTCCCAGTGATCAGTCGAAGATTCCAGCACCTGGGGCGTACTGTCCAGAAAAAGTATAAGACTTATTCCGCTTTGAAATGTCTTTATTATTTTTTTTTATGATTTTTTCAGGCTGAAATATTAAACAAAAAATAAAAATATGGTGACAATAAAACAGTCGATGAAGAGAGAATTAAAGAATATGGAGGAATAATGAAATAAGAATTAATTCGTGGCAATTTTTTGAATGAATTGTTTCAGGTGGTGCTGGATATTCCTCCAGCTCACACCTTCGGCATCAGGCACTCCCAGTACATCTGCAACCTGAAGGACACAGTGCCTTCATACTGATCGGACAACAATGGCTTCCATTCATCGATTTTACTTGTTTCTCTTCTAAAATTTGACTGACCACGCATTATCTTTCTTCTCTGAATTAATGCGCAGCACTTGAACAGCTTGAATACGTTGGAAGATTAAAAAACTTGCTTTTGTTGCATTAAACAAAAGCTTAATCATATCACACTCTTTATTTTATAACATTCAACAGAGCAACAGATGGTTTTATCATTGTAAAAACCTCGAAAAATCGTTATCATTGCATAGAAAAATAGTTGTAAATCTTCAAGTAGAAATTTTTCATTGTCAATTGTTTAAAGATATATGCTGGGGTTGTCATAATTGAATGTCTTGTCGTGCTAGTTCGACTCGATCAGAAGCTAGGGATTTCTTGTTCAGGTAAACGCGTTCTCCAGCAATCCAGGTTGACAGCACCTCCAAGTTGTCATTCAAAATAATAAAATCTGCGTCTGCACCGTATTCGAGGACACCTTTACGTCCTTCGAGACCTAGAGCTCTAGCTGGATGCAGAGTGGCTGCTTCCAGGGCGTCTACTGTTGTGCAACCTGTGGAAATTATTAATTTGTTCTGTTTCCCCTTTTGTAATTTTCGTTTATACCAGAATTCAACTTATACCCCTTCAGGCCTTTTAATTTTATCTTTTCCCAATTGCATCCAATAAGAAATATTAAATATATCATTATGTTTTTTTTTAATTAAAACTTGATTTCACCCGCTTTGAGTGATGCACATCTCAAATTATAGATTAATAACTAATTGAATAATTAGAAATTAATTTTTAAAAAATATTCTTCAGTGAATTATTTGATTAATTCAATAGACTTGTTATTTGCTTTGCGACATAATAAATTAATTTTAATTCAACTGGCGGATTTAAAAAAAAAACAATTTCCATAATAAAAACAGTTTAAATTGGAGTAATTTGTTACCTGTGGCCTGTTTGAAAAATCTCACACACTCAGACATATCAGTTGTGCTTCCACAAAGAGTATTGGTTTTGGCAATGTACGCCCGTCCGGCCCTGACCTCAATATCCTGTTGTCCAAGCATGTGAAGACCTTCCGGAAGCCCCAGGGCGGAAATAGCATCGGTCACCAACACAAGACCTGGGAAACAAGTAAACTGTGTCAGGAATACAAACCGAGATTTAAGATAATTCGCAATTTATAATCGCCAAAAATACCTTCTGGAGCAGTTCGATGAGCTATTCGTAAAGCAGCTGGATGAGTATGAATACCATCTGCGATTATTCCATAATGGATTTTTCTCTCCTGGGGAATTTGATCAGAAGTCAAGAGACCCACTAGACCTGGATCTCTATGATGGAACTATTTATAAAAAAATCCAATGAAACTTCACATTTCCAGTGACTTCCTCACAATTTTTTGAATTGTTAGTATAATCTAAAAATTCGTAGCTAATTGCAAAAATGTAAAGTAAAATAAATTCTACATAATTAAATACAAACCGGCAACATTGCATTGAACAAATGAGTGATAAAGGAAGCCCCAGCCCTGACTGCCTCTTCCCCTTCCTTCAGATTTGCAGTTGAATGACCTGAAAAAATAATTCCCGATGAAATCACATCACAATTACTCTTCAATTTTAATCACAATGACATTATTGCTTTCCTGCCTCACCTACAGAAACTTTAATCTGTCTATCGCACAGTTCCTGGATAATCTCGCAGGTATGGCTCAGCTCTGGAGCGAGAGTAACGTAACAAATGTTATCCAGACTTCCATAAACCTCCATGAGAGTCGTGAAGCCCTGGAAAAAAAATATTGTGGATTAATCAGCCTGGAATGTCAAAGAATTAATTTCTCTTTACTTTGTCAAACCGTTTGATGTAGAATTCCTCGTGTGCCCCTTTTTTGTTTGGACTAATGAAGGGCCCCTCCACGTGGACTCCCAGAACCCCAGCACCCTGGGGCCCTCCATCGGTCCTCTTGATCCTCGGAAGGACTTTGCGATATACCTCAGGGGACGAGGTCACCAAAGTCGGACAGAACGAAGTCACTCCATGGCCTAGGAGTTCTTTAGCGACCTTGCTGATCCCCTCCTCCACGTTCTCGATGTTGTGGGAGAAATCAATGCCATACCCACCTAAAAACGGTTTAAAATCAATGAAAATTACTATTTTTATAAATAAATACAGTTCAGAGTCCGAGTGATAAGACGATAAATTAATTAATAAATTTATTTATTTATTTATAATTTATTTAATTAATTTCAATTAATTTTTCTTCACCATTAATCTGCATTTCGATGTACCCCGGGGATATCAGAGCTCCTCCGCAGTCAACGATCTCATCAGGTTGAATCTTCTCGCCGTAAAAAATCTTCTCCGGGTCCACAAACCTCCCATCGCGAACCCACAAGTGCTCATGAATAATTTCTCCATCTCTCAATATTCTACAGTTGTGAAATTTTGTCAGGTGTCCCACTGCTCCAGACATTTCATTTGTTGCAATAAAAAAATTTTAATTATCGAAAATGAAGCTAATAGTCACAACACGAATTTTAGAATTGAATAGTGGACACGAGATGAAGTAGTGAACTCTCTTATCTGTTCAGACTGGATAAGACGCTAATTAATGAAGAATTTTAATGAGAGAAACCAAAGGAACTCAACAGCTTAAGTATCGAATTCTCTGGCTCCAACTCCCAACTACCTCCACCCTAAACCACTCAATTCTGATAAAAAGGATAGAACAACCGAGATCATCACTCTACTATCAGGCGAAAAAGAAAAAAACAATGAACAAGAACAAACGTCAAATTTCGGGGGGAATAACATTTTTGCTATATTTTGGTACCAAGTTCCTGGACATACCAGAAGATGTCCTGGTATGAGCGAGTGCGTGAAAAAACGAATTCAGTAATCAAGAGAATAACCGACAACAATAATAAATCAATTATCAACAAATTAACCGAAGTAACAAAAACCGGGAATAATGAGTGACGACGAGAGTTCGAGCAGTAGTGATGATTATCTTGTTGCACCTGACAAGATCAACCTGGACAGTGAATTTTTTTCGCAGTCAACATCGAGAAAACCTAACCCCACGCCGGATTGTCCATCCTCCAGTGATTCTGATGACTTCGAAGAAGAAAGGAAGGATACGTCGGTGCTGTTGGCAGAGGTCATGAGGAACCTGGAGAAAGCCAAAAGCCGTCCAGATATGTTAGCTGTGCCCTCTAAGACCTCTACCCCAGGGAAGAAATCCCAGCAGGATCTGGCAGATGAGGTGAATGCCTTGCTGGCAGATGAGATAAATGCCTTAGGAGGAGGAGAGAGTGGCCTTGGAGTCAGTTTAGAGACAGATAATGATGACGATGATGAGAAGAATGTTTCAGAAGAGTCCAAGCACACGATCCCCAAGGACGGCATCACCATTACAATTCCAGGTACAGAGATGCTCTTCAATCGGAGGAAGAAACGAGGGATTGACCTGGAGGCCGAACTTGTCAAGAAGATGAACCAGAGGTTGAGATCCAGTCAGTTGTACATTCATAAGGTTGGACTGCTCTGCTGGTTAGCCCATGGTTTCCACCTGAATCTCCAAGCGAATGCTCCTGAGGTCCTCTCGACAGCGATGAGTCTAGTGCCCCAAGAGATCTGTCCTGATGGCCGAGTGGATCTCAAGTACCTGGAGGGCTTCACCAAGTGGTTTAAGAGGGTAATTAAAGTTGAATTAAATAAAGAGGACCATGGGGTCACCAAGGAGATGCTCCTAGAGAGGATGAGGAAGAAGACAGCTCACAATCACAGGGAACTTGTACTGATTTACATAGCGACACTCAGGGCTATTGGACTGAATTGCAGGTTGATTGTCTCTTTGTGCCCTCCAGCCATGAAGGTGACCAGGGATCAGCTGTTTCAGGTTCCTGACAGGTCCAAGAACGAGGGTAAAGGGGAAAAGGCACAGATTTTGAAGAAAGAGGGATCAGGTGTGAATAAATCAGAGAAAAAAGAAGAAAACCCGAAGAGACACGGATCAACGGAGGGCAAAGTAAAAAGCGAGGATAAGAAACAAGTGAAATCACTGAAAAAGGGACAGTGGAACTTGAGGAAGAAGGATGGGTCCCAAGAGGAGAGGAAGCTCTCGCCCTCCAAGATCATTCCTGAGAACAGCTGTGCAGGGGATTCCGCTGCCAAGAACGCGGCCAAGAAAAAGGCAGTTCAAGTGTTTCTCGCCAAATTCTCGAGGGATCCAGATAAAAAGTCTATCCCTGGAATTAAACAGTTGGACGAGAATGATGAGGGAACAAACCAAACTCCAATTGTGAAACGACTGCGTTCGTGGACGGGGAATGCTACAGAGACTGAAAAAGTAGCAGCCTCAAAGGATATTTCTGTAAAACCTTCGTCTAAAGCTGGAAAAGCCACTTTGGATCTCAAGAAAGTGTCTCAGAGAGTTGGGAAAAGTTCTGGGGCGACTGCCTCGGCGAAGGCTAACGTCGAACGAAGAGAGAGTGATGATAGCTACCTGGGGACAGACTCTGAGTCGGAATCCGATTCTTCTGAGCACTTCAGTCCTCCAAAGAAACGAAAGATAGAGTCGAAGAATTCGAAACCGGTAGAATCAAAGAAAAAAGTCAAGACGAAAATCAAATCAGAGAGGGAATCGAATCCGAAGGCCTCTACCTCCAGGAAATCCAGCATTGATCGTCGAGTGCTGTCGTCAGATGAAGAGGATGAAGTGAAGAAATTCGATGCAAGGGACACCACGTATTTGTGGGCTGAAGTGTACGTCGAGTCTGAAGAAAGCTGGATCAGTGTCAGTGTCCCTGATGAGAAGATCCACTGTGTCTCGGAAATATTCAAGAAGATACCCCGACCAGTTCTCTATATTATTGGATGGAATTCGATGGGAACGTTGAAGGATATCACGAGGAGGTATTGCCCTCACTGGCTGACGGACACCAGGAAGCAAAGGATAGACGAGAAGTGGTGGAAGGAGAGTCTCGAAACATGGGCTGAACGGGAAACTGCCATTTCCAGGGCTGAGGATGAAATGCTTCTCCAGAAGGAGCTCGAGCAGCCCCTGCCCAAAACTCTCACCGAGTGCAAGGGACATCCTCTCTATGTCGTGCAAAGGCATCTGCTGAAGTTCGAGGCACTTTATCCACCTGACTGCGTTCCTCTGGGGCATCTCAAAACTGGGGATGCTATCTACTCTCGTCACTGCGTCCACACCCTTCGCTCCAGAGAGACATGGCACAAGGAGGCTAGAGTCGTTAAACCTGCCTCAGAGGCTTACAAAATTGTTAAAGCCATGCCCAAATGGGATAAGGTATCATTTCTCTACATATTTTTTATCATTGATAAATTTCACGAAAAATGAAATTAATTCCTCGATGATGACATTAGAAAAAAAATTCAATAAATGAATTACAATTAATGGTAATTTTCAAGGAGATAAAAAGCGAGACTTTTAACTCAGTTCACAGGACAAAGGATGAAGGATCAACCCTTGGAATTATTCGGACAATGGCAAACGACTCCTTATATACCACCGGAAGTCAAGGATGGTGTCATACCACGTAATGAATATGGAAATGTTGATCTCTTTAAACAGTGTATGCTGCCTAAGGGTGCTGTTCATATCGATCGTAAGTTACTGGCTATTCTGAATTGATTTTCTCGTAAATAGCCACAGTTGGAAAAGCTCATAATAGCGAGCATGAATTTTTAATGCATGTGATTTTGCCAGTCCGAGGGCTAATCTAGAATCTTTGGGAGAGGAAAGTCATGATTTACCACAATCTTTCCATCAATCAGCAGTTGATTTCACATATAATCCTTAGAAAAAGTAAAACATGTGGAAATTATTCTATTACTGTCTAACAACGATTCCCATTTCTCCTTCAGTTCCAGGATTAAACAGAATAGCAAAAAAGTTGCACATCGATTGTGCCCCAGCATGTGTGGGATTTAATTTTGGGTGCAGAGGGGCTCTCCCAGCGTTCGAGGGTTTTGTCGTGGCAGAGGAGCACGAGGACACCCTCCGAGAGGCCTGGGAAGAGGAGCAAATAGCCGCAGCCAAAAGAGCAAAGGAAAAACGAGAGAAAAGAATCTGGGGCAACTGGAGGAAGCTCATCCGCGGATTGATGATCAAGCAACGATTGGCAGTCAAGTATGACCTTGGGGCTGACGATCATGCTGAGGATAACGTGAGGGGTGAGTCCTCAGAACCAGCTGTCAAACGTAAGAAAAAGGGCGACAAAAAGCCGTAGAATAGAGTGGAAAAAAAGGTGAAATGTCTTTTATGAAAGAAAGTGGCGGATAAGTATTTCTGATTATTCCTGAACAATTGTGTGATATTTTGTACTAGTATTGTTACCTGTTAGGAAAAATGAACAAATCAACAGAAAGTTGGAATGTACTTGCATGGATTTTTATCAAACACTTATTATGTAGCAAAACGTTGAGCGTTTGTTGTATCTCGTTTATATTTATTTAAACTTTAACATTTAATGTCACCGGTCGCAGTACGTCTACATGATGACAAAATATTTACCTATTGTTCTTCGTTCTAGACATGCTCTATTGAAGAATTTAATATTGAGCCTTACAATTGGATAGGTTTTCAGTCAACAGAGAATGATAATATATTTTTCCTCATTTACTCAACGAGTTATATAATAAATTTATACTTTTCTTTACAGTCTGAAAATCTAGGGTCCGGTTGTATCATATTTCTCACGCTATTCAGATTTTTGCAATATTCTTGTTACAAATATGCATCAAGCACAATTTCAACGTGCAACACGTGAGAATTTGGAATTGATATTCTCAAAAGAATTTATGAATTCGCGGAATACAAAAAATTGTAGAAAAAACAATGAAGCACGTGTTTGAAAGATGATAGAACCCGACCTTAAAAGTTATTTCATCGGTTCATGCTACATCCAAATCAAAAAAAGTACGATAAAAATACTTTACGTATATTCCCTGCATCTAATTGAAATTTCCTACATCCAGTATATCAATCCATCAGTCTATTTCAGAGAATAATTCCCGTTAATCACTCGTATCAGTTCAAAGTCACATCCACTCGACTCGCCTCGTAATCTCCATAAAAAAGAAATAAATCAAATTCTTGACTAAATCACAGAGGTGAAAATTGCACATAATAACTTCCTTCCTGAAATTAATGGAAATTAAGAGTGAAGTCCTTAAAATAAAAAAAAAATAGAACCAAAAAGTCCTGCAAAAACCAACACTCGAATCAACTACATCGTTCACAGCGTCACGCTATCCCTCCGCCACTCATTACTAATAATAGATTCTCATCTGGATTTAAAGGTACCGAAGGTCGCGTGTTTGCGGAACATTTTTTTTACCCTCTACCCATACATTAAATTCTTAATTTACATTACACAAGATTAAAGTTGACAAACATGGAATTAACACCGTCGGTGGATAGAGATTCAACGTCTACTTGTGATAGATACCGGTAAATAGTAAAAAATAAATCTAGAGAATAATTGGGGCGAAAAAAAGACCTGATTATTACGTAAACACGTTCTCAGGTTTATTTAGCACTATTTTTTTTCCCCACTGGCATTCGTGATTTATCCAGTGATGCACCCGTAATAGTCCAGATAATTCCTCCATTTCTTCAACTACCCAGTTATCCAGTCAATCACTGTATCATTACCGATCCAGACGATAAGCAGATTTGCCATTCGTCCTCTAACTCTAATCGTCCTACGTAATGGATACAATAGGAGAGAGAATAGGAAAGAACCCTTGTACTGTTTGAAGAAAAATAGAATGTTACCCAATGCTGTTTTACGTCGACAATGAAAAGGCCAACGTCAGCGATCATTGCCAGTTTGATTGCCCCCTAATTCAATCTCAATTATACCCTCCAGTTCAGTTGCTGCCTGAAGACAGTGGCAGTGTCAACAAGTAATTTTTAACAGGAATTTTCTAATACAGAAAAACATAATGTTGCTACACGATGTGTTAGTCGTAACATTTGGATCATTGAGATTTCATAATTATTTGGTGTTTATTGCTGTTTATCGCTGTTTGACAGATGATTTGGCGTTCTCCCTCGAGTCTACAGCACTCAGGGCTATTCCGAGCTGCGCCGCATAGTAGGTCAGCATTATTGACACCTTTAGAAATAATATGTGTGAGACAAGGGTTGAATGATTTAATTGGGAGTTATGTGGATCGAGAAAGCTTACGGTTGCGTATGGCATTGGATGGTACCAGTGGTGAAGACCTAGAAGTGTATCCGATATCACGAAGAATATACCACCGATGCAACTGCACAGCTTTGTCCATGTCCACGGCTCCTTGAACACCATTTATTTATTCATTTATGTTATTGCATTCATTGTGTTCTGTGAAAAAGACTTTGCAAAAAATTTCATTGGGGCCCAGCTCTGTAATTTCTTAATGTTATCTACATTTTTTTTTCGTGTCGATCATTTCAAAAATTCATTAATTGTCATTGCATCTCAGGCCATATTATAGTTAATGGCAATTTTAGAAATGCTTGGCAAAATGAAAAGGCAAATGAGAAGCTAGCATCCGAAATATCATTCGTGATGTAACTAGACCTCATTAATTCACATTTACATTTTATTTTGTTAATTTTCATTCAGCAATCAATTTTTTTCGGCAGTCTGGGAGTACATCTAAAACTTGTTTTTGTGAATGCTCATGGCAATTAGGGATTGACGTCCAGAGGATGTCAGTACAAAGTTTCAAAAAATTGATCGATGGTCGTTCATTTACATAACGTGCGGTCTGAAGTCTCCAGATAGTTTTGCATTCAAGAATAATTATACTGCATGAGCAACAGATAAACAAATATTAGAATTTCCATCAACGTTTGTATGCGATTTGAAGAGTAACTTCCAGGAAAGGACATCTAACTATCGAATAACTCTGTCCATTGAATTGGATAAATAAAAAATAAAATTTTCCATACTTTGAAGAACAGCACTCTGGACACAGCTCGCCATGACATAGTTACGAGTAGAAATGTATATATCGGTACCCCTATTGTCAGAACTCCACTCAGCCCAGGCATCAGTGTATAAAGGACTGTAAAGTTAAGCAGAAACCATTGTCCCCTGCCATACATTCCCTAAACTATATAATTTTTTTACTGAATCAACATAAAACAGGGGCCCAATTAAAGGGCTTGTCTTAATCACTACTAATATTTTTAATACTTTTCTTAGTCTTGACGATAAAATGATATAATATGCACAAGATAATTTCCAGAAGTGAAAAAATGAAATAATTCAACTGAATTATCCGGTATTTGATAAATATACCCGAAACCGAGGGAGATATAAAAATTTTTGTAATGACCGAATTTGCGGCTGTCAATTAGATCCACAGAAAACGTCCTGACAAAAATTTCGCAATCTGGTTGAATTTCGAAGATATTCCCAAAAAACTGCGGAAAGTCGTGCGTTGAGTAATTTCTTTCCATCGCTTCATTACTAAAATTTGTAATTTCACTTAAATTTGAATAATTGCTTGGTATTACTTCTGAAGCCTTTCTAAACTACATGATGAGGAATCGTCTGAATTTTTCATACCCAGCAATGACAACGAAAATATGAAAATGCCGAGCGACGGATTGAGCGGTTTGAAACCGAACGCTGTGATGTACATGATCTGTGCAATAGCGAACATAGCCATCCCCAGGAGAAAAAAATTCGGCCAGACGATGAAGGCATCACCTAGGCAACTGAACACCAGGCCAGTCAATATCCTCCTCGAGTACGTGTACCTGGAATAATTAATTGAATGAGCTCATTTGACCGATGGCCATTTCCAGCGATAAAACTCACTCTTCCGAGAGACTCATTCCATGGAGGAGTACAAATATGATAAGACTGATTATTGGCAAACATTTGAAACACGCCGTGAGTAATGACGGTTGTTCTGCCAAAAGCACGAAATACACGCAGACACTCTTGAAGAATGGTACCAGTTTTGGACCGCAGCTCTTTAACTGAAAATATCACCTTTATTCACTCAAAATCCAGTTGAGCCTCGTCTCCTTATCAGCCTTATCACTTCACGTGGTACAGCATCCAGAGAAATGATTCATGACGAATCAATTTTACTGGAGTAATTATTTATTAAAATAATTCCAGTTTTTATAATATGATTATAATATGATCGTAATTGAATGAATTAATCCGATAATACTCTGAATCTACAATTCCACTACTGCAACGATTGATTAATTATTTATTTCAACTGAATTGATTAATAATTGGCAGAGTATTATTTTATTTCGAAATGTCCCAGTATTGTAACAAGGAAATTTATTTGACGTTTATTTATACGAAGTGCAATAATTTAGCTTTAATGCAAGAATTATTTCTTCCTGACATTCATGCGAGTAGAATGTAATGAAGCTTTTATTGAAAATAAAAATTCTTTTTTAATTGTTCCAGGTGAGGTGTCCCCAGAGACTCTCAGTACCTAAATCGATTGCTTTCGAAATAAATCGATAATTAAAAAATATTGAATTCTAATTAAATTATCTATTTTATAGGGTTCCTGGTGTTTGTTCAATCTAAATGAATTCACTTTCTTAATTTCAATTAAATAAATGATACCGGAAGAAACACGGTTTATTCATCTTAAACAAACGGTTCATCTGGCACAAAGCAATTGTTCTTCAAGTCCCACGTATGATTTATAAAATTTGAATGAATGCAATTTTCGACTAAAACAAAGAACTTGAAAGAGAACCGTGCGTTAAATTTGGTATCACATAAAGAATTGACTCCTACAATAGCTAAATAATAGCGTCAATGTGATCTAATCAGCTCTTTATCGGGTTTGCGTGAGTAAATAGAAAAAATTTCAATACAACAAAGGAAAATTCTGGTTGAATTCACTCGAATTTTCGCTTCTCGTACGAGCTTTACGAAAACAAACGGGGAATTAAAAATACGAAAAAAATGATAATCATGAATCGATTGAACAAAGGACTCACCACTTGCGTTGGCGACGACATTTTAAATAAATTTGATCAACCCCCCGGAAGTATTGGAGGGTGAAATGAGTTGAATTGGGGGATTATTAAAATAGGAAATAGTCGGTCCGACGTCAATAAAACTAGTGCAATTGCACTTAGGATCGGTATACGTCTGCTATCGCAGTCATGTCCGTACTGCTGTTTCTATCGTTCCCGCAAGTGCATAAAAAACACAACTCAGACAAGTCGAGTGGTGGGGGAATTGCTCGATAGTCAAGTACGTCAAGTATGGTGAACATTATTGAAGGGGAGAGGGTGCAAGTTGAGTCAATGGTGTCAAGTGGTGAGTGCGTTTGTTCTGGTTGGAGGTGAAAAATTGAGTTGACAGTAATTTAACGAGGAGATTGGGGTGTTTGGGGCATTGATGATCTGGGAATGGTCAATATTTCTGGATTTTTCATCATTATTGGTTGGAGACTGGCCTTTATGTGGTGCATCAGACTATAACCTTCAAAAGGGGCTGCCAAATTGAAGTCGTTGATGATTTTCAGGGTCTGACTAATTGACCATTTTGGGAAATTATTGCTAGAATAATGGTGATTCAGTCATTACCTGCTTCTGTTCGACCTTATCTCGAGGCATACATGCAATGGATCACCACAAAGCCCCAGGTCATTTCGGATATCGAGAGCACTGTGAGATGCTTGTCGTATTTTACCGCAGGTTCGTTAGCACTTCACGATTTTCGTCAGGAATTTTGCAATACTCCATTTTTATATTTACGTGACTATTCAGGCTCAAGTTTACTAATTGACCAGTTAACACATTTGTTATTCAATAATGAACACTTGTGGCTAGTTTTTTTTCCAATGAACTGTAGGGTAAATGAGTGGTACATTTTATCTAGCTGTCAAGCAATATTAATGTGGCCATTAAAATTATTTATTTATTTTTTTTTTTTTATAATTACTGATATTACGTCAGTGAGATGATTTATTGAACTCGTTATCTGTATAAAATTGTTGACTTCATGAGTAATTGATTATTACGATGGTTTCTAAAAAAGTTGTTAACGGTATGTTCACCTCTGTGACTTGTTTACTCCTTTTTTGTCACCAGGACGCTTTGGCAGCTCCTCGTTGACGTCCGAGCTCATCTATTCCGTGCCAAATCTCCTAATCCTACTCAACGATCACCTGTTATATACCGCCAAATACACACACCTGAATCTCCCTCAATTCCAGTCACAAATAAAGATATGGCTGACCATAATCGAATACACAGAGGCCCTGATCGAAGTTGGGGCCAAGAAGCTGTGGGGTGAGAGGGGAAAATGGCTCCTGATATTGGTAGTACAACTCTTCAAGTGAGTCCTGCAGAATTTCCTCCGCGTAATCATCCTGATTCAATGAGCCCTTCGTAATTTCACTCCATTATTCCAGGTCTGTGATGCGATTGATTCTAGTCCATCACGATAAAGAGCGAATTACTATAACCCCTATTCCTCCCCTGAACCGAGAAAAATTGAGTTCGTTGACATTCATGACCCTTGGAAATCTAGCTGTTCCATTGCAACATTCAGTAGGATTCCGGTTAGGACGTTCAGGGACTTTTGTGAGGAGTGTAAACGCATCTGGACCCATTCAATCGAGAATATGGGCACCACTCAAACCAGAAAATGAAGACACTGTGACAGAATCTCCTGTTACAAAAAGAAATCTCCTGATTGCTGAAGTAAAACAAATGAAACGAATTCAAATTATCACTCCAATTTTTGTTATAAAACTTAAGTCGATACTATTTACAGACTTTGTACATCATGAAACCAATAATCCACCTGACGACCTTCGTGATGAAAGGGAATAAGAATTGGCTTCCCTGGGTAACAGCCCTCACCCTCGACCTAGTCAGCCTCCACTTGATAAGCAAGGAAACAAAACACACTGTCTACACGAAAGAAGAAAAGGAGGAGATTACAAGACGCAGGATAAGTCTTCTCCTTTATATTCTGCGATCGCCCTTCTACGATAGCTGCAGCAAAGCCCGAATTTTTGCTCTCCTCGATGGACTATCAAATAATATACCCCTCGCCCGTTTTGTGGCGGAGCCCATCGCCAAATACTTGCCTCACTGGCAGAAAACTTATTTCTACATGTGGTCACGTTAATTATTGCCAGGTCACAGATTCATTGACTTCCATCAGGGCACCGGCTCCATTTGACTTATTCTATATAATTAAGGTAGGCAAGACTTCTCGTTAGTGAATATTCTTGGGAGAATTTAATTGGTGTCTTGGCGTCGAGGAATTATTTTTCTATATATTGCTGGAAAATTGTGAAATACGGAAAAAATATCAAAGCCTTGGCCCATTTTTTGAGAATACACATTTTGGGAATTATGAATTTATCTCGAAATGATCAATTCAAATATCAAGTGAAATTCTGCTTGTCTCACTTCCAGAATTTACGTCGAGAAATCTCCGTAAAAAATACGGTAAGAGAATAGTGTTAAAGAAAAGAAAATTTCAATAAGATTTTCTATTGGATATGTTTTATTTTTCGGTTGATTTATTCTGTAAATAATCACAAGGAAATTGAGAACATTTCGTGACTGGAGTTAGGCCTTCGGACTAAAGGACTAGAATTGAATTGACATTTGATTACAGGGATTAAAGGTATGAATTGTTTTGTAGGAGAAATAATCTGCAGATATTCCCAGTGCGACTCAATGTATCCCGGTGTGCAAATAGGGGGTTAATCAATCGATAAAGAACAAGAAGACGTGAATGAAACATTTTTATAGGATTAAATTACATTCCAGGTGAAATGGTATAATTCTCTCGTTTGGGGTAGGAAAAATCGTCCATGTACATGCACATTACAAATTTGTTGATTCAAATCGTTTCGAAAAAATTTGTAATAAAAGATTTATAATGATAGTCACGTGCATTACGGGTTATTGACGTGTAAAATTATGAATGAGTCTTTTGCTATTCATGTTTAGATCGGATTAAAAATAAATTCTATGGATATTTATATGACTTAAAAATGCAAAAAACCCATTTTCTCTCTTCACAGTTACCCACAAAACGTCAACAATGCATCTTAATAATTTACAAATATATTACATTAATATAGAATACATATTTTCTCTGTTTTTTTTTGCAGAAAATACAAATAGTTTTGAAGATTAGAATTATTTCGATTTACGCCGTGTTGAGGAATGATAATTATTCGCACATTTGGAGTAGAGAGTTTATGGTGGTGTCTTTCTTACCGTTGTTGGCATCGTAGACGGATTTTATCACCTCCTTGTCGACATTTGGGAACATTTCAGCAATCTGCAAATGCATATTATCGTTATCATATCCGTTATTACTTTTCCTGAAGATCTAGCAGTTTCCTTCTCATAAATCTCTATTTATTTGGCTTAACAAGATCCCTCCCTAATAATTATAATAGTGGCTCTAATTTAATCTTCGTATTTACCTGCTGTAATTCAGTCTCTGCTTCCGGTCTGGCACTTGCAAGAACAGGGGGTTGTTGCGCCGCAGCTACTGGTGGTGCAGTGTAAACATTGACAGGGGAATATCCTTGCATTCCAAACATCAGGTTCGATGTGGCATTCGGTACCATCACCATTGGAGGTCCAGCCACGTACGGCTGGCATTTAGTCTGCAAATTGAAAAAAATTATACTAAAAAAATTCGACTAGAAATAAAAGAATGGAGTGAGGCCTTCGATATTTCAAGGAAAGTGAGAAAATTGCTTGCAGGTCTTGAGAGTTTGATGAATTTAGCACATCGAGAGGAAATTACTTTTACCGTGTAACTGAAGACTAAATCAATCATGCCCTCTTGATTATCACCCTGTTTTCCACTGAGCATGTACCAGTCCTCGTGAGTCTCCCCTCTCTGGATAACTTGAGGTGGAATCTCTATGTGTCCCCAGGCGATCAACTCGTCCATGGTAAAAGAACACTCGTCGTAAATTTCCACGTATATTCTGTCTACACCTGCTGGTAGCCAACTGATGGAGAGATAAAAAACAGTCATTACTCCATCATAAATTACCGAGGTCTTGCAGGTATTACCATTGAATAACTTTGTTCCAGTGTGGATTTTTCCCTCCGTTTGTGGCAGTTTGAGTCTCGTAAATCGCGTGACCAACTCGCAATCTCACGTATGGGTCCATCCTCGTCATACCGTAATTTTTAACTAACTTCGCCTGCAATAATAATACGCTATTTCAACAATAATTACCAGAATCTCATTGGGTGTCTTTTTAAAAAATCCATATTACATATGTTCTTCATCGAGCATTTGAGAAAAGTAAATATAATAATAACATAAAATAATTTCCTCAATTTTCGAAATCAGAGACAACGAATGAATTTTTATTTCTCACACACAATATAATTACTGGCCCGAAAAGATGATTAGCTGCAAATAAAAAAAATACAGATTAAATAAATTGAATGCTCTCAATTGCTCACCTGTGCAATAGTAATACTGAGCCTTCCAAGTCCTGGTGCAGCAGCGGTGGACATTCCCTGCAGCTGTTGCAAAGCCAGGGCCGCCTGTTGGTCAGCAGCTTCCTGCTGTTCTTGAGGTGTCAAGTGTTCCTCCAGTCTGAGAAAATTGGGAGGGAGAGGTCCCAAAAAAGCCTGGAAAATCAAACCCCTCACGATAAATTATTTAACTAAACGACAGAAGGGTACACGCCCTGGACCCGATGACACGAATTCGTAAGACCTAACTCAATTTATTCTTAAACCCCGAAACATAAACATCGAGACCTCTCAATTATTCGTCCACAAAACAACCACAAAAAGTGAAATAACAGTTCAATTTCTTATTATTCAACCCCATCAAAATCGAATGCGACTAGTGCAATAATGACGTTCCTGACAATCGAAACCAATGAAAAACATACCCTCTTCTTCCATTCATCATGCTGTTCAGAACTGCCGGCTCCTTCCATTTCCCACGTCAACTGAATTCAAATAACTCCAAACACGACAAATCACTCCTCGAGATTGCCCAAAGTTGAGATAAGAAAATTCTCGAGCAATTTGCTGGAAAAAAAAAAGTACACACACACTCGGATACTGCCTACGCAGAATGCATAAGGAAAATAACAGGTCTCGGGTGACTAATGACGCGTTTACAATAGTTTGTGCAGTGCCCTCCACCCCCGCAGGTGCACATCAGCTGCTCGTTGCCAACGGAGTGAATTGAAAATGAGGAGTAGAATGAGTTGTCGATGAGTTGGCAGAACTGAGTGGTGCAATGATTTCGGGTATATTCGGGTTGTTCTCTGCGGCGTGGGTTCGTCTGTGTTCTGTTCGTCAGTCTGTGGTGTGCAGTGGTCACTTCACGTGGAATAATAGAATTTCGTGGGTGGGGGATAGTCCCACTAATTGTTACAGCTAAGTGATGGAATGATAACGTTATTGTTAATAAAATGTGAGTGCGAGTGAGTGGAGGAACTGTTGATGCACTGGACGTTTGATTTATGATGGCATTGAGGAAATTGAGGGGCGCCCTCGCTGCCTGCATCTTGTGCACTCTCGCCGCATCTTTCGCCCATGGTGAGGATTTTATTATCACATTCTTTCTTTCGACTTTCTTCTAGTTTTCTTCAGCGAATTCATTAGTGGACTCGCTGCACTCCCATCGGGTTATCAATGAGTACTTTTATTTGTTCTTATGTCACTCCGTAATCTTCTAACCCTCTTGTCCCCTCGGTTGATTCTCCTTCCTGTTCTTGTTTACGTTACGCTATTCTAAGGTTTCATTCATTGTTACTCCACTTTGCGCGTCAGCCTCATTTCCGAGAATCATTCGGGATCATCTGCTGTGGGGGCTGTTCCTCCGGGTTACGACATTTTCAGGGGGTTGGAGTAGATTTTTTGGGTGGAATTTTCTTTTGAGAAATTCGAGCTCCAGAGTCGAGGTCAAATTCGGTTGTGATGGGTCGAGTACAATTTTTTGTTGTTTATGAAAAATTTGGATCGATTCAAGAGATTTTTAGAAAGGTGAAAAAAATATGTTATTCAATTTTTCGTTTGATATTCAAAATTGTAGTCTGGTATTGTCACATGTCTTTTCAATTTCCGAGGATATTATACGGGTCATACTCTATACTTGAATTACTCGTATGGCCCCAGGGGATGTCCCAAATTTGGGACAAAAATTGATGTCTGAAAAGGATGTCCATAAAAAATTCTTCTTCACCCTTAGATCCAAGATCTTCTTTGAAAATTAGCCTATGTGTCAAAGTTGTTTACGTTTTCAGCTATATTTCTTGTGATATATTTTCAAGATCAATCGATCCCTAGAAAAAATTTTGAAATCGAGTTACCACATTTCACCCCTGAATTTATTCGATCCAGATAATTACTGAGGAATAATTGCACATGCCGATTGTAGAGTAAATTACCTTTATTGGTTTTATAAAAAAAATTCCTTCAATACAAACAACAAAAAAATAGTTCTGCTCAAATAATTGAATTCTGTCAACTTAATTTGATAGTAGGAATATTTCTATTAAATTATGAGAATTTCCTGTGGATTTTTTTCCACAAATGAAAATGCACTGACAATAAACAATTTTGTTAGACCAAAAAAATTCTTAGATCTAGTGATTCCTCGGGGATTTGAAGCAGAAAGTCGAATGGGGAAGGATTTAGCACCGAGAATCGAATAAAGAGGTGAAGTCAGGAGGGGGCAAAATGAAATATAAGGAGCGATGAGGGAACACAATGCCAGTGGGTTGAAGGTGTACTGGGGTTCTTTGGTTCCTCCATCGCTGTTACACTTGGATTGATGAAGAGAGATGCAAGAGCTGGCGAACCAGTAGGGAACCGAACCTTTACCTCAGGAATGTAGACCCTCCCTCCATCTCTATTCCCCTCATTTTTCAGTGTATTTTCCATTTCATCTCTGCAGTCCAGCATTCAACCTCCATCTCCCTTCTGCACTGTCAGTCCACTTAACAAGCCACAATATAAATAATATCACAAGGTGCACACGTAGCGGCAAGTCATTCTCTGCATCTTCTTTTTTATTACTCTTGTTCCATCTCACATTTTTTACACTGAGATTTTTTTCAATCCTCCATAAAGGGAGGAGCCCTCCAATATCCCATTCCCCAATGAGTTTTCTATTTCAATAAAAAAAAAAATTGTTACTACAATTTTTTTTGTCAGCTTCGTCCATTTTATATTTTAAAGAATGTTGAAATTTGAAATGTTTGTAATTTAAAAATATTTTTGAAGAAGTTTGTGGGGAAACTTTTTTCAATAATTATAATCACCAGGAATCTGCACTTGAACACCGATTTCTCTCTGATGTAAATGAATATCTCAAATATATTTGTCTCTCGGTGTATTTTTCTTTTGAGCTTCATCTAGCTTCTTTTTACACCGTTGACACCAGTCCCAGACACCTTCCAACGGATTTCTTTAATCTTCCGGCTATCTTAATGTCCTCCGAATCATTTATTCGCCCCATGCAAGTTTCTTCCATTTGTCTCATTCCGCCCTTGGTTTTTACGAATTGTTTCGTGGTCTATGTGCTCGGCTGTTCTGTGGCCTTTGTATGTCTTATTTTCCGAGGATGATGTGATGAAAAGAAATGAAGATGGTGAAGTTACCGGCAAAGCCCCACACATTTTTTATTCTCTTTGTTTTTGATGAGTTTCTCGGTTCTATCATCTCTCCGGATTCTTTCATATGATCTCTAGGCGGAGAAATTTTATCATTCCCGTTTTCCGATGCATCGATACAAAACTTTCTCTCGCCGATTTTTTACATCCTCCAATGCATCGGAATTAATTTTCTTAATTAATCTTCTAGATAATGAATATGTACAAATTGCGGATTTTTACCAGAAAATCTGAGTAACAATTTTATGAAGAATTTTAAATATCACAAAATAATTTGTTATCTCTCGATTAGTCTCGACCAAGTATCAATTTTCAACGACAAAATTTCTGATACCTTCAAACCTTTCAAATTAAACATGCCCACACACGTTTTCAATGAAAAAAAAAATTAATTCTCATCCCTGCGAATCTATATGGAGACATGAAAGTAAAAAATCATCGCCTCCGACATTTTCCACTTCACAATAATCTCTATCTCGTTCCAATAATTCTTCACATAACTCCCCTCGACGTTCCAGTTTTCTTTGACAATTCTTTACCATCTCCATACCCGAAGGGAGAATCAATGTACAAATACGAGTAATCCCGGGTGAATCAATACCCAGATAATGACGAGAAAAACCAACGAGAAAGGATAAACCGGTGCCAAGATCCAGTGCAAGTACTGTAGAAAATTCAATTGAATTGCACGTGAACTCCGAATGAATGCAGAATGGATGTGCGTGCTGAAAAGCGATCAACGGTAGTTCTTAACTTGCTCTGTACCCACTATTCATGGATTCTAGGTTCACTCGGTGTGTCGAGTGGTGGATAGGGTTTGTTCATAGGGTTCAGGCCTTCTCCTTGGCTGTAATCCATGCACATGCCTTTCCTTCCCTTCAGGGGCCACTTCTACCCCATTCACCACCCACACCACCCACACCACCCCCTCATACCCCTGTATCAGTCTCAGTCTCCGTCTCCTCTGCATTACCCACCACATCGTTGTTATTATTCACAGCATACCATTAATTTAAAATTGAATCACGTCTAGACTTGGAATCAATTCAGGAAAAAATTTTCATTGGGATGATTTTCCCTTCTTAATCATTTTTTTTCCACCACTTGGAGTCTCCTTCAAGTTTTCGATGAACAAGTGGAAACAAAGGATGGAATATGTACATTTCATGCTCACATGTGTGCATAAGGTCGACGGAAGACTAACGGCCGCTAACAAGGTACAGTAGTAGGGTGGGTGGGGGTGGTTGGGTGCTGGGGGGGTGGAAGGGGCGGGAAGAGGCAGTGAGGGGGTGTGGAGGCGAGAGGGAAAGCGGCCAAGAAGGAGAATGAGATGGGAAGCAGAGTTGGGGCGTGCTAACTGCCATCGCCCCTCTTTTTTTTTTTTATTATTTTTTAATTTTTTTTTTCTTCTCAACTTCTCCTCTCCACCTCTTCTTTGCTAGATGGCTCTCGACCGTACGAATACACTCTAACCAGGATACAAAACCGAGGACTTCAGGTTCACGGGACTGAGAACGAGATCTCTCTCTCTCACTCTCTCTCTTCCCTTACTCCACATTGGCGTGGGCATGCAGAAGAATATAAAAAAATATTTAGCCGGGTTTTTCCTCAAGTCTAAAGACTTTTTTTTCTGGTTCTCCGTTTTTTTTTTTTTTCAGTTAGCCGAGTTGGGAAAATATTATTTTGATCATTATTTTTAATTAACAAAAAATATATATATGTATGTTTTCTGGTAGAGTTGGAACTCTATATCCACTTGCGTAATTTGAATCTCCGGTTGGATGTTTTTTTTTAATTTATTTTTTTGAGGGATATTTCTCGTTTGGTTTTTTGTCCTCTTGTCTCGCTGCTCGTTTAATCTCACGCCTCGTCACCTGTTTCTCGCACTTCCTCTTCCTTTTGATAATCCGTGGGATTTTCTCGTCTTGACAATTGTCGTTGGGCGAGAGACGAGATGAGAAAGGGTGGATAATTGAAAATGAAAATGCGTGAAGTAGGGGAATTAAATGATTTAGGAGGGACTTCTTTGAAGTGAATTTTCTCTTTGGGGTGATACGAGGAGTGGGAATAATGCGTTGGAGTGCATAATGAGGCGAAGAAGCTTGTTGGCTCTGTTGGTTGGAGCTTCAAAGAATTTTCGTAATGGGCGCTCAAAGGGGAGGTAAAGGTGTGTAACTTTGGAGTGCACAAAGTGGCATTCATTAATCCGTCGAGGGAGCTCACCTCGTTTACAAGTTGAGACAAATTACACAAGTACGGAGTGGTGAAGAGGTATTAGCCAAACCAATCACTCAATATTGATTCTCCCCCATTCATCGGGAATAATATACCAGTAGAGATTCATGCAGCTCAACAATTGCTCCACTATGTTGTCATGGTAATCCCCTATTTCCCTATCTTCGAGGAGTTGAGGTGACAGTGCAATTCCAACAGCTCCTGGTTAATCAATACTCCTCTTATCGTATCATCGAACACTTTCCCGTGATCCCCTAATCTGAGTGCATGCACATGTTGTCATAGTGCGACGAATGGAATCCATCGAAAAGCAGCGGCTGAATAATCCCACGCTGATGAATTCAGTAATAACAATTAATGGAATAATTCTCCTTTATGATTACAGGCTCACCAACTCTGCTGTTCACCACGAACAAGGACATACGAGTTGCGAACACATCCCGAGGTAACAAGGTAATAACAGTAGTTAAGGATCTGAATCAAGGTGCAGCTCTCGATTTTTTCTGGGAGCGAAGACTGGTCTGTTGGTCAGACAGTGGCCTGGAGATGATTCAGTGTGTGAAGACCAACGGAACTCACTCGGGTGATCGAATAACAGTCGCCAATACGAGTCTGATATCCCCAGATGGTCTAGCCTGTGACTGGTACACAGGAAAGCTATACTGGACTGACGGTGAAAAGAATCGAATTGAAGTGACAAGTATAGACGACGATAAACAACGAAAAGTGTTATTCTGGACAGATATCTCTGAGCCAAGAGCAATAGCCCTGGTGCCCATGAGAAGTCTCATGTTCTGGACAGACTGGGGCGATGTCCCCAAGATCGAGAGATCCTCGATGGACGGCAATCCTGAGAGCCGAAGGGTCATCGTCTCTGACGATATATTCTGGCCAAATGGATTGACGATAGATTATGACAACGAGCTAGTGTACTGGGCTGACGGAAAACTCAAATTCATAGCTGTGATGGATTACAATGGAAAGAACAGGAGAAAAATTGTGAAAGAGGGATTGGCCTATCCGTTTGCAATCTCATTCTTCGATCAGAAGCTTTACTGGACCGACTGGAAGACCTTCTGCATTCACTCGCACGAGATCAGGTCTACGACAACTCAATCACCACCTCGTGAACTCATTAACGGTGAGTACATACCAGGTGACATCGAGGTGTGGGATCCCAGGAGGCAGCCGTACTCTGACCATCCGTGTCGACACAACAATGGCAATTGCTCGGATCTGTGTTTACTCAGCACTGATTCACCTGGTTACAGCTGTGCTTGTCCCACTGGGGTCAAGCTGATTGATAATTACACGTGTGCAAAGAGACCTGAGGAGTTACTCCTCATTGTTCAACGCAATGAGATCTGCAGGCTCTCCCTCGATTCCCCTGATTACACCAATTTCGTTCTACCATTGACCGGAATAAAGCACGCAATTGCCATTGATTTTGATCCTGTTGACGAGATGCTGTATTGGACTGATGAGAAGGCTCGAGCTATTAGACGGGCGTATTTGGATGGCTCTGGGCAGGAGGACATCGTTACCACTGAGGTCACCAATCCTGATGGCATTGCCATTGATTGGATCGCCAGGAATATGTACTGGACGGACACAGGTACCGATAGAATCGAGGTCGCTAGACTCAATGGCACGAGCAGGAGAGTTTTAATTAATGAAGATCTGTTGGAACCGAGGGCTATTGCCCTGGCGCCTCAGCTCGGTTGGATGTTCTGGACGGATTGGAACGAGAAACGACCGAAGATTGAACGGAGCAATCTCGATGGGAGTGAACGAATTCTTCTTATCAGTAAAGACATTGTTTGGCCAAATGGCATAGCCCTCGATCTTGAAAGGAAAAAAATCTACTGGTGTGATGCCAAGATGGATAAAATCGAGGTGTGCAATATGGATGGATCAGACAGACGTGAAGTCATCACCGACAATCTTCCCCATCTGTTTGGACTGAGTCTTCTTGGTGATTACCTGTACTGGACTGATTGGCAGAGACGAAGTATCGATCGCGCCCATAAACTCACTGGATCCGATCGTGAAGTTATCGTCGAGCAGGTGCCCAATGTCATGGGTGTTAAGGCTGTCCACCTGGGGTATATCGATGGTACGAATCCCTGCGCCAGGGACAACGGTGGCTGCAGTCACCTGTGCCTGAACAAACCAGGTGACAACTACGTTTGCGCCTGTCAAATTGGATACGAGCTGACCAAAGACAAGAAAACGTGTGTTGTCCCCGATGCATTTTTATTGTTTTCGAGGAAGGATAACATCGGGAGAATCAGCATTGAAAATGCCAACAATGATAACATTATACCGGTCACTGGAGTCAAAGAGGCGAGTGCATTGGACTTTGATATTGCACACAGTAGAATTTATTGGACTGACGTCAAGGTGAAAGCGATTACTCGGGCATTTATCAATGGATCTGATGTGGAGAGAATTGTGGATCTGGGGCTGGAGACACCCGAGGGATTGGCGGTCGATTGGATATCGCAGAATCTGTATTGGAGTGACACAGGGACGAGGAGAATTGAAGTGATTAGACTCGAGGGATCCAGCAGGAAAGTTCTGATTTGGCAGGATCTCGTTGAGCCGAGATGCCTCACACTTGATCCTGGGAGGGGGCACATGTACTGGAGTGAGTGGGGAAAGTCTGGTAGTATTGAGAGGGCGGGGCTGGATGGAAGTGCGAGACAAGTGATGATATCAAATATTGGGAAGACACATGGGCTCACAATCGATCATTCAGCGAATAAATTGTACTGGGCTGATCTCTTCACTCCGGCTATCGACAGTTTCGATCTTAAAACGTCAAAAAGACGTGCTGTCATCAAACAGGATATTGTCTATCCATTTGGAATAACTCAGTATTTGGATTATATTTATTGGACTGATTGGAATACCGGGGACATCGAGAGGGCGAATAAAACCACCGGAGCAAATCGCACGAAAATTCATAATAAATTGGAATCCGTTACTGATATACTAGTTTTTCATGCGTCAAGACAAGCTGGCTGGAATCCCTGTGCTCTCAATAACGGCGAGTGCAGTGATATTTGCATTGCACTACCCGATACTGGTGGCAATCCATCGCAATTGTACAAATGCACTTGTCCCACCCACTACACTATCGCTGCCGATAATAAAACGTGTATTGCCCCAAAAAATTTCATGGTATACAGTCTGCGAAATGTAATGGGTAGATTTATTCCGGACGTGGATGACTGTCCAGACGTTGTTCTTCGAGTCCAGGGAATACGAAACGTGAGAGCAATAGAATTCGATCCAATAACTCAACACATATACTGGATTGATGGTCGTACAATGTCCGTTCGTAAGGCCTTAGAAAATCGAACTCACGCATCGGTGGTAATCCCGGGTGGTACGGGCTCTCATCCCTTTGATCTCGCTCTCGATCCACTCGGTCGTCTTCTCTTTTGGTCGTGCACAGAGAACGATGCGATAAACGTCACAAGATTGGATAACGGTTCATCCCTGGGAGTTGTCGTCAAAGGGGAGAGTGAAAAGCCCAGAAATATAGCGGTCCATCCGGAGAGACGTCTTCTATTCTGGACCGATGTGGGTGCAAAAATGAGAGTTATGCAGAGTGCAATGGATGGAAAAGAGAGAATAACAATAGCCTCGGATTTGGAGCAGCCAACTGCTCTGGTGGTGGATACCGTGACAGATCAGATATTCTGGGCTCATGGGAGGCAGATTGAATTTTGTGATATTGATGGAAAAAATCGGCGTACATTGGTCTCAGTGGAGGAGCAAAATTCTATCGCCTATCTGTCAACTCTCAACGATTACCTCTACTGGTTTAACCGTGAGAATCAGGTAGTGGAGCGAGTGAATAAAACATCGGGGACAGGTAGGAGAGCGATGATGAATAAAGTTCTCTCGGATCTTGTGACAGTGAGAACACCTGATGATCACGTTATGGAGTCCCACGTGTGCAGCCCATTCAGGGATTATGGGGGCTGTTCTCACTTTTGCATTGGAACTGGTATCAATGCCAGATGCTCATGTCCACAATTTCTCGTGCTGTCGGAGGATGGTAGGACCTGCAGGGCTGCACCAGCTTGTGGTGCTGATCATTTCACCTGCGCTGATTCGACATCAGCTCTTGCCAAGGACTGCATACCAGCCACTTGGAAGTGCGATGGACAGACTGATTGTCCTGATGGAAGTGATGAGCTGGGTTGTCCCGCCTGTGGCCACGATCAGTTCAGGTGTCAGAGTGGTCAGTGCATCGATGTATCGTGGGTGTGTGATGGTACTCCACAGTGTCAGGATGGAATGGATGAGGCTCACTGCTGTCAACCTGGACAATTCAGGTGCACTATCACTCCAGCTTGCATTCCTGGTAGTGCACTGTGTGATGGCTGGGAGAATTGCGCTGACGGCAGTGATGAATCTGCACACGTGTGCACCTCAACTCATAATCGGAGGCAGGAGATTGGACCCACCGTTGAGACTGGAAAATCGGCATATGTTATCGTTGTTCTTGTCGTTGTTGGGGTAATGTCTATTGCTGTACTTGGGTATTACTACTGCCGAAAGAAACTCGCTGGCAATGATGAGCTACCTGACATTTGTCTACATGACTCCGCTGGCGATCCATTATCTCCCAAACCTGGCAGGTCTGGTAAACCAGTTTTAATGCACAAGAATGGAGTTAAGGATCTCAAGGCGGGACTCAAGACCATGAGAATGTCTACACTTACTGCCAGCAGCATTGGGTCGAGCTATGATCGCAGTCATATTACAGGTGAATTTATTTATAATAATTCAAACGAAAGCAATTAATTCCAGAGATTTTTTTTGTTTCATTCAATTAGTTACCCTTTTTTTTCGTAGTAATAATTATCATCTTCATAATTTCCATGGATGAGAAATTTCACTACATAACTTCGTGATCTTTAAAACTCATACGAGTCTCTCGTTAATTATTTACGGTGTAATGTAATGTATGAAACTGCTGGGAATACATGATTTTTTTTTTATCCCAGAGGTAATATAGAGGATTTCATTAATTTTTATAGGCGCGTCAAGCTCGACTCGGGGTAGCTCTGCGGGTGGTTATCCCCAGGAGACCCTCAATCCACCACCGAGTCCAGCAACAACAGCAAACTCAACTCGGTGCTCCAGTAGTAATGCCTCGCGTTACCGTCCCTATCGATACTACCGCAGCATCAACCAGCCCCCACCGCCCACCCCCTGCAGCACTGACGTCTGCGACGAATCAGACAGCAATTATCCGCAATTAGCACGGTACAGGTACGGTAGTGAGCCAGGCCCACCACCACCAACACCTAGATTAGTCTACCACAGTGATACGGCCTACAGCTGTCCTCCGTCTCCGAGCTCGAGGTCGTCGACGTATTTCAGCCCACTGCCACCTCCACCATCTCCTGTACCGTAAGACCATTATGGGCTGTCGCTAAATTCCAGGGAATTCTCATGACTTTTCTGGTGAATGTACAAAAATCGAAATCAAATTTTCGTTTCTTCCCTTTGGTGAAGCATCAAAAGTATTCACGGAGAAAATTCCGATTTTTTTTTCGAACTTTCGTTTATTGGAGAGAAGTATTTTTTATTTGAATATCTTTTTTTTTCCATCGACGCTTTTTGATTAGGTTTCAATTAGAATGATTGGGGTAGCAGTATTTTTTATTGTGAATTTTGTATTTTGTTGGGAGAGAATTGCAATGATTGAGATTTTGGGGTGAATAATTATTGAGAGACTGAACTGAATGTTGCACACATGATAATTCTCCAAAAAATTATCGAACTAGAAAAAAACGGCGTTGAAACGGGAAATACTTCTCTGAAGTAAATGGATATTCGACGGAAATGATTTTTCTTCTGAATGTTGAAAATTGGAGCATCCCATATCGACTCCAATTTTCCTGTTGCTCTTCTCACCAATTGATGTCGATGTGTCAATTTCCGTCAATTTTCATCCCCTTGAAATCACTCAAACTTTCACAAATCTACCTCACGAACACAGGAGTAGATCTTAATGCCACAATTTTTTATGGCAGTTGTTGAAAGCTGGCGAGACATAATTTAAGACGTAATTTGACATGGGACGTTCCAATTGCTAATTATTCGATACTCAAAAATTGTCCTCCATTAATTTTAAGTTTTATTTTAATGACAATGGGTGCTACAAAGATACGATAAGTATCTAAAACAAAACGCATGAGAGAAAGTGCAAATATCTGTTTTATAGTTGAATCACATTCTTGTACAAAGGGAGAAGGAAGTTAACCGTGAGTGCCTAGCGATCGTGAAACATAGATTTTGCAAATAATTTATAAAATATGCAAAATTCCGATCACGATACCCTGTAAATAATGAACGTGTACATAAATTGAGGGGCAATAGACTAATTCTCAATCTAGCACCGTGAATCCGTGTAAAAATGTGTACATGACAGTTTGTTTTTTTTAATTCAAGAATAATTTTTAAGGCAGCCCGGCATTCTGCTGAAATTCCCATCTGCAATGCCTGCACAAAGGCCATTAATTATGTCTATCTATACTCTGTTAATTGTGATAAAGATATATCGTATTCTATTATATTATCGTTGTTTGCGTCTCAACGGAGAAAAGAGAAGAACATGGACCCCACGGTTTCTTACCTGATTGTGGCATTTAACCAAAGGCTGCTTCGAGTAAACATGAATATGTAGAGTTAGTAATGATTTTCGAAGAGATAAATTACGTGAGGTTTCCACGTATTGACTATATTTTACATGCACATTCAGAATTCATGAGAAATTGGATATCGATGCTTTTGTACACATCACGGATCGTTCACATCTTTATTGAGTCCGTGTCAATATTTTGTATTCAATATTGGATTGCTGTGACGGATAAGTTGACATTATTTCTGAATGTTTGTAAATCACAGGAAAAATAATAGTAGAAGCCAAAAAAAATGATATTTCATTGGCTTTGTACCGGAAATAATCAGCATTGGGAAATTTGAAGATGAATTCTAATCGGAGGAAATAGAAACTAGACTTATGAGAATAAATCCGAAATAAATTTTGAGGAAAAGATTACAGTTTGCCTTATTCTGTTGCGGCAGTTCATTGAATAGAAGAGATTACGCTCGATTGTTTCTCTTTCAGTCGTTATCTGGATTTTCTCAAAGTTCGTATCTCAAATATTTTTTAATTGCCGTTTCAACGTATATCAAGATGGAATTTCCGAAAATTATGGGTGTATGAGAAAGATCTAAGGCTGTAAAGATAACGCAATCGAGCCCTAATTAATAATTACAGGGTGCCATAACCATTAATGATTATAGGATAGATAAAAAATCGTCGCACGGCGAAAATATTAATCGCCACCGATAATTTCACAGAGCATTTCACACTGCCGATTTTTACGAATTTGCCCCATAAAAAAAAAGAAGAAAAGTATTAAAAAATTTTTCAATGATAACCGAAGGATTTTCCTCTCATTCGTATTTTATATACAACATTATCTATCATATCTGCTTGTGTATCATATTTGTACAGAAAAAAGAAAAGAAAAACGACTAATAATAATTTTTTTGTTTTATTTTAAATTCACGCGAGTTGTTTATTCTCCTCACTTCGTAGATCATTTCCATTTGTTGGAGGAGCTTCTGTATTTGCTGGAGTAGACGTCCTTTTCCTCTTGAGCAGAGAGTTCCTCGTCGAGGAGGAGCTCAAAATTCCCCATTGCCTGTGGCGTGGGGCACTTGTTCCATCTGACACTATTGAATGGAGAGAATAAAAATAATGAAAAGATCCCTGTAGACATCGCTCTCATCCATTCTCCAGGGCTTCAAGAGCTTTTGTCAATGATCATGATAATTCAAGTTTCCAGGATTTTCCACTTACTCTGGCACTCCGTCGGGAGGCAATACCACGGATACAATGTTATCTATGAGCTTGTATTTCAAGATTCTGTCGTTAACGGTTGTTGATGTCAGAGAGGGCGAGGCATTGACCTGGAATAATAAATCATCGGAACAATTGGTTGAATTCATTGGAACCAGTTTTAATTATGGACTATAGTACTATCATCTTTTAATACAATAAATCATTGAATTGAAAATTCTCATTAAAACTTGACATTTCACTGCTTTTCTACTGATTCAGGTCAATTATTATGACTTTATTTTCAAGAAATTGGAAATTTGAAGCATTTTAGATATTGAATGGATTCACCTCGATCAACCAGGGTTTTAATTTATTATCAATGATTATATCATATCCATAACACTCGAAGCAATGTCGATCGTTAGCCATAACTGGAGCGACAGCCTTGAGTGAGTGAACAATGCACCAGGAGATGTTTGCAAAGAGCTTTTCCGTCACAGCTTTTCCCCGAGTGCTCTCCAGATACAGACGAAGATTTTGAACGCTGAGTTTGCCCCCATGGAGACTATTGTACTCGTCCTGGAGAGATTTTTTTAAACTCATTTTTTTGGACGTAAAAAGTGGATGCTGAAGTGGGTACCACTCACCCCGTGTTTTTGGACGGAGACATTCGTGAGATGAACGTACATATTGTCGAGCTCCTGTATGCTCGTGTCGTACTTGACTGTGCAGAATCTACAGAAACCGAGTTTGAAGAGATAGGCTTTCAGGGGCCGGAAGGATGTTATCAGAACGTACAGCCGCAGGTCGAATTTTTTACCACCGATTAAGAGGGGATTGTCGATGTATCTGAATGGAGCAATTGAGGAGATGAAACAGAAAGGTAAATATTTATCTCTTCCAGAAAAAATCTAATTATTAATAATAGAAAGAATTTACACTGTGAAAGTAATTAATGGAAATTGGATTTACCTAGATATCACGTACGATTCTTTTGATAAATTTGGATTGAACGGATTTTTAGCCTCTCGGGACCATTTTTTCAATTTACTCAGTTTGTTGATCAAGAAAATACCCGCCCCCTGGGATTTCCCACAGGGTTTCATGATCCAAGTGCTCTGTGGAGACTTGCGATACTCTTCGACGAACATATTGTAATCCGCAGGTAACACAAAAGTCACAGGAATGAAATCCAAGTGGAGATATTTTCCCGGGCCATCTCCACGCTCGGCTAGAGGACTTCCCTCTCGTTCGAGATCTTTTCGATATCTCTTGATATTTTTCACCAACAAATCCTTCCGAGTCAATTCGTAGTGATTTGGAAAATGATTTATTGTTCTAAAAACGAATGCCATAAAGATGAATCTCAATTTTTTAAAACGAAAACATATTTTTTAGAACCATTTGGATAATATTGCTCGCATTTTTTTTCTTTACAATTTTCCTTAAAAATATCTGTATAAAAAATTATACTGAGGTATTACTGATTGTCTCCCATTCGATATCCTGTCTCCACGCTGAATATATTTCGACAGGACTGCGTTACTGCCCTGCAAGTTCAATAATTGGGAATGCAATTCATTTTATGCTTTTATTATTTATTTATTTCTGTAACGAACCGATAAAATGAATAACTCCACGTGAAAACATTTCTTATATATCGAATTATCTCCAAACCTACCGATTCAACATGAAATCATTAAATGACTTTTTTACAGCCGATTGAATTTTCGAAAAAAAATGACTTCTACTACATCCCTTTAAAATCAATAGTTTTCGAGATAAATCGATATTTATCATATCCGAGTGTATGAACCCCGCGCAAAACACTATAAAATTACCAGTAAAAATTCCAGTCGTCCTCTGGTCCAACCTGTGCCCATCCTCGTTTTTCAAAATTATAAACAATCACGGATTTATCCATATCCGTGCAAAAGGTCACCTTCATCTTATCAGCCCCAATGGTGGGTACTCTGAGAGAACGAATTCTGATGGATATGTATCATTTTTTAAAATCATATCAACACACATTCATATTGCACACATTCAACACACCTGCCGTAAATCGTCGACAAATTATTTCCGGCTCGTTTATGTTCAGGATTGACAGCTCCATTCGCCATTTTTTCAATCTACATCGACTGATGTTTAATCGATTCTCAAATCCCTGGAAACGGTATCTAGAGCATTAAATTATATCCCTGTCCATTTTTTATTTTATTGATAACGAATGGAATGAATCTAGAAGATGATACGAATGACCTGAAAAATTTGAACCCAGAGAAAAATGCATGGGGTGAGGACAAGTGATCGTAAATATTTCTCAGAAATAATAAATTGTCAACGGACACCCTGTCATTCCCAAAGACTGTCCTGGTCTCTCATTGGATGATTTCTCGCGGTTGTTTATCTTGGGGTTTTCATTCTCCGCAGTTGATGCGTTGGTCAAAACAAAGGACTTCAGTTGAATTTCGTTCGTTTACACCTTCTGAACTGTGGATTCACTGCTCAGCGGAAGATCAGCCCTAGAATTCGTTGTGAAAACGGTAAGTAGCCACGGAAAATTTACTTGCATTCTTTGAATTCTGTTGAATTACACCCGAGGAATTAATTAAATTTATTTGAGATTTCTATTCATGGAGAGGCGGCCGGCATTTCAATACGAATATTCACGTGTCTTGAATATCGATGGGTTTCACTCGATTTATTTACGACTTGTGAGAGTTCTGTACACTTTCTGATCGTAGAAACAATTGAATGTTTCAATATATATTCATATATTTCAATATATATATTTCATTCAAATTGGCGAGCGGTAGAAAATCATTTTGAACGTTCATTTTGTAGTGGCAAAAAAAACTGACGGATTTACTCTTCTGGATTACCGGTCAGTGGTGTGGGATATGGCGGGTTTTCCAGTTATAGTATATATATTCTATATTCTATTGGCTAATCTGATGACCTCCAATGTCATTGTCAGTTTGCAGAGTAAATTGTGAGATGATTTCGTCAGCGAGTGGTCGAAAACTCCTGATGAGGGAGATGATGAGGTCTCCTCCAGCTCGCAAGCCGAAAAATATTGAGGACGAAGTGGTGGAATGTCCCTGCCAAAGACCAAAAAAGCAGTTCATCTGCTCAAGTTGTGGGTACATAGGAGAAGGAAGGATCAGGTCACCTTGTGATAAACATGCCAATGTTAGTGAAATATCAATGTGTCTCACTCTGTGATTACATCTCCTCAGAATAAATTTTATTTCATCCAGGTGATCTTCATTAATGACTTCAGCCGATGTCCCATCTGCAAAGCCTACGACTTCATGCTCCAAGAATTTTAAAAATTCGAGGAACCCATTACGATAAACCTCAAGGCTCAGAGTTCAGGATAAGCTTAAGACAAGTTTACTGTTTATATCTCAAACACATTAACTCGTAAGGATCATGTTAAGTGAAAGAGTTCGACCGTTTAACTTCAGCGTTTTATGTATAATGGTAGATTAATTCTCCATTAATCATTGAAATCATATAATGATTCATCAATGGCCCATCATTACTTAAACTTGTTAATACATAACAATTTATTTTCATCTAAAATTCTTGGTTAAATTTTTTATTCACAGATTATCGTTTACATTTGAATTAATACCTAAATATTTATAGTCCGAACCACCCTGGGATGCCAGGCTTGTTGTTGGTCTTCAAGAATTTCTTGAAGCCATTCTCCATCTCTTTAAGGGTTTGTTTCTCTTCTTTCTCAGATGCTTTCTCCTCTTCTTTGTCGAAAAGTTCGGGGAACACGAATTTGTGATCTTTGGGCTGTAATCGAGATAATTCAGGAAAAACTAAATAGTTTTTCAATTCAAAGGGAAAAATTGGGAGGAAAAAAATCAGTTGAATAATTCAATTAACATACCAGAATTGCATAAGCAACTTTGATATCATCATCCTTGACAACGTATCCACCGGTGGCAGCATACCTGAATTTTCCCATTTTTATCCTCGTTCTAATGTCAATAACTGGTATTTTATAAATTTTCTCTAAATAATTCTTGACATCGAGTTTAGTCATCTCCATCGAGCAATGGAATTCAACGGTGTTCGCTGGTAGTTTGTACTTGCCTTTCACAATTTTCATCCAGAAATTCGGAAGAAATACTCGAAGTTGAGGATTTCCTTTTGAATAAATTGGATACCTAGGGAATCATTTCCAACAATTAAAAATAATCGCCGAACTGATTAATTGCATTAATGATTGATAAATCCGGATCAATAATTAAACGCCTCACCATCTCGTCGACATTTTCGCCTCTCCCTGGACTTTCAGTCAATAAACAACTGTAATTATATCTTGTTATTGTTCTTAACAAATAATTTTGACATAACCTGATCTGGGAGACTCCATGCGATTGTTAAATCCACGTTTTACCATCAGAGGGCTTTATACAATTAACGATACAAACGCTGTCGGGGGAAAGAGTCCACCATTTTAGTTTCGACATCGCTATTGGCATCCTCGCCGGTCAATTATTCTAATCTTCACCCAGAAGTTCGTGTAATTAAGTTGATATTCGACTAAACTGTGAAAATAATTAATTACTTCGATCAAACGAATAATCCATCATTCGTAGATATGAGCACCGACAGTATTGAGAAGTTGTACAAACATTTTGGCATTCTAGCTGACGCCAAAGACAAACTCTCCGAGGTGAGTTTCAGGTTGAGAATGTGTGGGATCCCACGTCTCCACCCAACAATTCTATTCCTGGTTATGTCTGTTCCAGCATGAGAAGGAGTATTTGGAGATTTTGAAGGCAGTCAAGGGAAGCCCCAAAGAAAAACGTCTGGCGTCGCAGTTCATTGCTAGATTCTTTAAATATTTTCCAAAACTTGCTGATAAAGCCATTGAGGCACACTTGGATCTGTGCGAGGATGAGGATATCGCTGTACGTTTTTTTCATCAATTATAGTAATCATTAGAGAATTATCATTTGAAGTGGAATTTTTTTGGGAAACTTGGAGTGTTTTAAAAAATTGGTAGTTCGGAGTTTTTAGTGTGGGGATAGTTAAGTGAGTCGGTGGAATTAAACAATTGAGTGTTTTTTTTTTCAATTCCAGATTCGAAAACAAGCAATCAAGGATTTACCTGCCCTCTGCAAGGATAATAAGGAGCATACACCAAGAATTGCGGATATTTTGGCGCAGTTACTACAGGCTGAGGACTCTACGGAGCTCGCAGTCGTAGACAATAGCATCATGTCACTTTTGAAAAATGATCCCAAAGGTAGATTTTTTAAGACTAAAAATGTAAATTTTCTTTTTCAGATTTTCCAGTAAATGTAGTTAGCCGAATATAATTTTATTTTCTCTTATTTCTAGGAACACTCAATGGATTTTTCAGTCATATTCTGAACGACGACGGTGAACGGGATGGTGAACGTGAATCTTGTATCAAATTCTTGGCCTCAAAATTGAAATCTTTAGGACGTGACATTATTACGAAGGAATCTGAGGATTTGCTCATTGCTGAGTGTAAAAAAATACTCAACGTAAGTTGTTCAGTTAATTTTCATTTAATAATTGGTGCATGAGTCTTAATCGGTGGGTTGATCGACAGGATGTGACAGCCAGTGAATTCCATGGGATTATGGATGTACTCAGTTGGACAAGATTGGGATCCACAGTTATTGGACAGCAGGAGCTCGTGGACATCACCATTGAGCAAGCAGAATTGTCAGTGCCCTTCAAGCATAGTAGTGTTGAGCAGCTGGACAGATTGATACAATGTATAAAGCACGCACTTCCTCACTTTAGTGTGAGTATCTCTATGGATTGTACCCAAATAATTCTATCTGAAAAGCGATAGAATCATTCAATGAACTATTATTTTTAATTATTCCAGGCTCAAATCGATTCTTCGAAGTACGTATCCTACATCTGTATGCAAGTTCTACCACATCTGTCATTGATATCCGCGCCTGATGGTCGCGATGCTCAGCTAATTATTCTGAAACTGCTAGCTGAGTTGATGACATTCTGTGGAAATATTGAGAAACCAGAGGAGAAAGTCCAGCAATTGTACAACGCATTGATTGTCTACATGCCACTTCCACCAGATACCGACATCACAGAAGTACCAAAATTGGAGTTCAGCCACGTTGAATGCCTCATGTATTCCTTCCACAAATTGTGCAAACAGATTCCCGAATTTTTGATCAAGGACCCAGAGCAACTGAAAGAATTCAGATTGAGACTACAGTATTTTGCGAGAGGAATCCAAGGTTACATTAAGAAACTGCGAGAAGCTATCAGTGGAAAATCAGAGGAGGACCTGAAAACCGAGGAGAATCAATTGAAAGTCGTTGCCCTCAAGACAACCAACAATATTAATACACTCATCAAGGACTTGTTCCACTCGCCACCGAGTTTCAAGAGCGTTATTCATCTTTCGTGGAAAACTCCCGTGGTTGATACTAAGAAAGTAAGGATACACTAGAAAATATTGAGGAATTCATTTCTAATCAAATTTTTGTTGTAATACATTTCTCAGGTGGAGAAAAATTCATCCCAGAAAAGACACACGCCAATCACATTCGGAAATGATGGAAGTCCAACGAAACGGAATAAGGAAGATAAGCAGGGTGGTAAGAGGGAAATTTACACACCGCCAAGTGGAAAATACAGTGGGAATATTTCATCGGGAAATTATGGTAAATTTTTATCATTACAGTAGAATTGAGTAAAAAAATAATCCATAATATTAATTCATCAGTTATATCTTGTTACCTCTCCAAAAAAATTGAATCACCAGATAAAAGATAATAAGTCAATAATTTTTTAATTTAACTCATTTATAATATATTTTTTTCAGGAAATCGAGGAAGATTCAGAGGAAATCGTTCTGGTGGACGTGGGGGATTTCGACCACGAGGTCGTGGTGGATGGCGAAAAAATTCATACTAGTGAATTTAGCCATTAGTCATTCCCCAAAAGACAAATCACAATGGCAAAATTTGAAAATGTGGACGGTTGTGTGAAAATTCGTGTGGCTGCGTCGAGAACAGTTTTACAAAGGAGAAAAAAAAATCAAGTGACGCTGCTCAAAGATTCTCCTGAATTGCAAGACGAATGAGAGGACGTTTATTATTATTTTTCCATTTGTTTTTTGTTCGTGTGAGAATTCCGCGAGTGATGATTATTTTTGTTAAATATTCACGAGGACTTTAAACTGATAACTGAATCAACTGTAGAGTGAATTGATTTTATTTCTATTCTATCGAGGCTGCCATGAGACTTATGATAGATTGGGATAATTTGAGGTGAAGTGTGAATGTGCAGCGACACGGGTGAAGAGACCAACGTGCGAGACAATTGATCAACGTTGAATGTTGAATCAAATGTTGAAAAAAAGAAAAAGTGTGACGCCAATCTGTATTCTCTCCAGCGGCAACCCTTCCCGACGTAGATCATTCCCAGTTCCCCAGACCTTCACCACCTCTGATGTTTTTCCCTCTGAAGATTTTTTTCTTATGTTGACAGGGATGCCAATGTGCTGTGGACACCAATACAATCCAACCTGCTTATTGTTGATAATTTTCAAATCAAAGAAACCGTTTTCCATTTTTTTTCTAAATTTTTATTATTATGATTGAATAAATAACATCTATCTTCATCTCTCCACCACAATTTAATTAATCATTCATTATATCTTCCGTGCCTCATTCCTCGATTAATGAATCATGAAAATATAAATATTTTTCTAATTCACAAGGAATGAATAAATTGAAGTTGATTGGCCGTTAATGTTGATGAAAGCGGCATTTCTTTGATTTGAGGAAAGTAAAAAATTACATATTGATGATTTTCCAGGGTTGAGCTGGAGCTCCAAGAGGATGCACCAGGTGGTCACCAACATTGCAAATAAATTCAATCATTAATTTCAGCACAAAAATTCTACAATTCCTGACTGGATGTGTGGATATCTCAGAAGCTCTCCAATAATTCACTCAAATACTTTAATTCTTCCAGGTATACCTGGCAGGCTCATTGCCTCGTTTGCTCGTATTCATTTGGTTCAACTGTTTCGTTTATTTTCTTTGATCTTAGGAATCGCAAGGTGAGTCTCAATATCAGAAAATCATTTTTGGTTCACCTCTTCCCCTCCCACCTCACCTTGACATAATCGAATTATCATCTTGATCCAATCTGTAGTGAAAAATCCTAATTGTCTCAATAAAAGCCAACTATACACAAGGGTTTGTTTAAATGAATTCCCACTATTCGTGTTATAAATATATTTTTCCGTTGCAAAATTTGGAATTATAGTTCACATTGAGATCAATATATACAACTTAACTTGGTAATTAAAGTTATAATTCCGTACAGTAATTGGGATGGAGTTCGTTCAGAACGCAGCATTGGAGGTCATTTCGTCGATCAATTTGCACATTATTTTGTCGCTGGGACAGCACGGGTCGGTATTCTGGTGTTCTGCATTCATACTGTCAGAGCACTCCATCGATTCGGTATTGATTGCCAATTTCGAATCCAATTCCGCGGTATCAGGGAGCATCTGGAGGGCGTGCTGGAGAATTTCCTGGACCTTCTCGAGGTGTTTTTGAAACCTCAGGGCGGTTTCGATCCTCTGTCGCCTCTGGAGCTCCATCATTACTCGCAAGGTCTCCCTAGCTTGATGAGGTCGAAATTCGTTCAATAAGTGATGAATGTGGATGAAGAGAAGACTCAAATCTTCCACCTGGTGAAGTAACAGAAATTAAATTTACCATTCTCCTTAATTATGGATTTATCTAAATACCTAATGGATTTCAAGAGAATGTATTGAATCCTCTTAAAATTGATAGTAAAAACGATGATTACCTTTTCTGCTCGCCTGGGACTATCAGGACACTGTACCAAGAGATCAATGAGGTCCAGAAAATTGACAAGAAGCGAGTGGTTGAGTTTCTTGAGTTCCCTCCGGCGATCAAAGTGCTGAGGATAGAGTCTCTTAATCCCTTGGGCCTCTAGCGGTCTAATGATCGTGTCATCAGCGTTGAAGACATTTCCAAACATCGAGTAACTGTCGTGAATGGGTGGTGGTGGTCTTGGTGCTCTGCCCCGTCTGACATTCTCATCCGTGTACAAATTGATGTATTGAATCGGTGGCAATGGGAGTGAACTCACTTGCACGGACTCTGGAGTTGCCATTTTTCGATAATCCCTTCACTTCCTTCCTCGAAAACAACTGCAATGTTTATCCCTTCGAATCTATGAAGAGGTTAGAAAATTCACGCCACTCTGGCTTCCTCCACTGCACTGTATATTTTCGAATGGATTACAGTGTTTAGTATTTTAGTAAAACCCACAGTTCACCTTTTTAAATTATTCTTTTTTACGTATACTTTGGAAAATTATTCATCCAGAGTTGATACGATAAGTATAATAGCAACAAATCAACTGCAATCTAGACTGCTTTTACTTTCGTTGAAGTTATACTCCCCGTCAAAAAGGATTGACTAAAGTAGGGGGTTTGAGTGACTCCAGCGGCATCGTAGTACTGCACCCCAAGAGAGGGAGGGCGCAACACGCATTTACGAATGAAGGATGTAGCAAAGTATCATTTAAATTATTAGTATCACTTATCCTGGCTTCTTCAACTTGATATGTTGAGATTCTCGTGGTGATCAATTAATCGTATTAATACCTTTACCATCCCAGAATGGCAGATAACTCTGAGCAAAAAAGCCCTTCAAATGATCGGAAAGTATAGAACACTGTAAGCTATTACACTGAAATTTTAATGTAACCTGATAAATGTGATTTTTCAGGAAAGAGATACAATACAGGACCAATTATCTGTCTTGGGAAGATTATTTTATGGCCGTCGCTTTTCTCTCTTCTCAGAGGAGCAAAGATCCATGCACACAAGTGGGTGCATGCATTGTTAATGACATGAACGTAATTGTTGCCACCGGTTACAATGGAATGCCGAAAGGTTGTAGTGATGATGATTTTCCCTGGCAAAAAAACACAGAGAACAGACTTGACTCCAAATTTCTTTATGGTGAGGATTGTTTATTAATTCGAAGTTGAAATTGTACACGTTCTTTCTTTTTCTTCTTCGGATATTCATGAAAAGCAAAGAAGTCTTATCTCAACGAATTCTGGTCTCTAACTGTTGTTTCCTTTGAAGTTAAAATTAATCCTTTTCTGTATTCACACCTCAGAATTTAAGCCATCATTTGGATTTCCTCAGTTTAAGAAATAATATTTTGTGACTCTCTTATTTTTAACGTAGTATGTCATGCAGAGGTGAATGCAATCCTCAACAAGAATTCGGATGATGTGAGGAATTGCAGGATATATGTGGGTTTATTTCCCTGTAATGAGTGTGCAAAGGTGATAATTCAATCTGGAATTACGAAGGTTATCTACATGTCAGATCAGAACAGTCACAAGCCCGAGACTATCGCATCTAAGAAAATGTTCGAGGCCGCAAAGGTCGAGTACAGGTAAGAAATTCAATCTGAATGATAACCATTCATTATTTATTTAATAAATAAACAAATGAAAAGTCGGGCGATAAATATGAATAACAAATAAATATGGATAAATATATATTTTTGGAGTGACTAAAATCAGATGTGATATTTTTTCAGACAATATATTCCAAAGCAAAAAAAAATTGTTATCGACTTTAATCAAATTGATTGGAATAATCAGGATCAAGGGCCACCGACACCTTTGAAGAAAAATATTGCATTGTAGTGTCGAGGTAGATGGAAGAAAAAGTCTTGTTATCGCGGCGTTCAATTATTTTTTTAATACGAAGAGAGAAACTACTCAAGTGCCTTGAGGATGTGCTTGTTGAAAATACACCTGTTAATTAGTGAAAAGTGGTGAGGCTTTAATCGTTATATTTTTTATTGGACGCGTTCTTTTGTACAGTTCAAGATAAGTGATAAGGAACTCTTCCTTCTACATTTACCAGGGTGCATTCAGTTACAAATGAGAATTTCCATTACAAATATTTCGGATTATTATTAATCGAAGAAGTTGTTCCATCATTTGGCAAAAGTCTTGTCAATAATGCTTTCATTGGTTTGTTGATAATTTTTTTGTTAATTAGTGAGAGATTGTGAGATATTTTGGAAAGATTTCATGAGTTTTTTTTTGCGTGAAATCTCTTCGTTTCAAATTTGTATTGAGAAACGGGTAATTTTTATCATATCACAAAAATTCTCACATTTTGGAGAATAGGTAATTTCCCTTTGAAAAGAAAAATCGCTCTTTTGGATTTTTTTTCTCAACACATAAAATAATATTGTCGGAATTTATTAATATGACAGAAAATAGTCTCCAAGTAAAAAGAGATGGTTTGAATTGACTATAATTAGACAGTTTATTTACTTTATTTCCTAATGTATGAAAAATTCATGAAACGACAATTTATTTAAATTCTTAATGCTGAGGTAATGGATTTTTCGGTGACAATCGGATGATGACTACTATACAATTATTTCCTCCCTCGTATTAACTCTTACAGTTCTGTACAAAATTACTTTTATCGTGAATGATTCATTTTTATCGAATCAATTGGTTATGCCTCGAATCGCAATGATTTATTCTTTCATTATTTTTATTTATCTACCAGCTGATTAAATCAATTGTCGATGCAAAAAGACATTTTCGTATTTCAGCGAGTCGAAAAATTGAAAAAATTCTCTTAACAATTACTCCATACCTTTCTCCTCTGCCAGATGGATTCATGGATTTTGGTTTAATTAATGGGTGATTATAATAAAATTTGAAATAATTATTGAACTAAGAGGAACAGGAAAATCACGAGCGGTAAAATGTGGAAACGGAATACGAAATTATCTCGCACACGACTCATCACAAGATCTAAAATCTCAATTTATAAAAAATTTTAATAAAACCCAATGAGTTTCTCGAAGCATCACACCAAAAAATCAACAGTTTTAGGAAAATAATAACCAAAAAAAAAGGAAGCCAAATAATTTTACCTGCATTATTTTTAATTAATGAACAAACTATTCTCATCCACTTGATAATGACACAAAAATTAATTACACAATCTTAAGTCCGTAATGACTGATGAAGGAGACATCGATGATAAAATATATCCCACAGTGGCTCTACACAGTAGAGTGTCCAACTCTGGACAATCGTTGATGAATTTTTCCCCACCCTCTTAATGACTGGACTATTTATCAATAAATCAGTTGATACTTCACTTTAATGATGACAGAGCATATGAAACGTAAAAGTCTTACATTATCATTTATTTATAGTTTTCATTTTATTTAAATCGTTCAAACTTGCACTTTAATCCATTCATCATGCATTCTCAACTCAAGTGCCTCGTTATCATTAATTTCATAATGCGATTATGAACATATCTAAAGTCCTTGGTATTACATTAAAATTCCATAAACGACCCCCTATTCCCCAGCGTTGTCTAATTTCATAAAGAATGTTCCTCATCGTTTTCCTCACCAACTCCATTCCATTATCGACACTATCTCAATATAATCACTATAATCCGCACTTAAAATCCATTATCCCGCAGCTGTAAATCCTCATTGGCCACCAAAAACTGGAGGTCACAGGCTCTTTCATATTCAACGTTCCATGCACGTTTTAACAATCTCCTGGGAGAAAAGAATCAATTAATTAATTTAATTTCTCCTGTAGATTCGGTTGTAATTCTCGATTTCTGTTGATTTGTTGGGTTTTTTTTACTAAATAATTAAGGAACAATTCTGATGGAGGATCAGTTCTTGATTGAGTTCTCCTTGTCCTGGCGATTGAGTGCTGCATTGAAGTGCACTGCTTTAGTCTGTGGTGGTCTAAATGCAGTGGCATAGGGAAAACGTTTGTGACACTTGTTCATGTAGTCGTCTATCGCGTCGTCGCAGGGGCCAAAGTCATTGGCTCTTAGGGCTTCCAGCACCCTGGTGGAAATTGGTAGAGTGACCCCAGTGAGATCATCGAGGCCAGTGGCGAGTGAGAGAGCTTTCGACTGAGATGTTGAATCCAGGAGATAAAGCATCCTGGCGCATTGGAGGAGGTGGGGAAGGGACGTTAGATTTTTCTGGAGGAAGTCGGTGTTGAATTGCACAGCGTCGGAGTTGGAGAAGATCTCGCGTGTCTGGTGCTTCACTACCTGGGCAACAGGGCCTTCCAAGGGTGAGGCACCTGTATGTCGGAGAAAGCGCACAAGACAGGAATGGAGATCCGGATTGTTAGAGTCCAGGCGGTGCGCACGTTTTATTGACTGGAGCATCAGCAGAGTTCGACCTAAATCCAATGAAAAATCAATATTGCCATTAAATTATACAAATATCCGTTCGATTTTATTATTCAGTAAATATCAGTAATCAATATTTTTCCAGTATGAGACATCTGCGCAGTAAACAATCTATGTCATAATCTTTTCAATTGTAATATTATGATAGAATAAAATTTTGCGCGATCACTGATATGATGATATGAAGAGCTGCCGTTACCTTTACGATAGTAGATTTCAAACGCCATCAAATGAGTCTCTATTCGATCAGCCGCGAGATTCTGCAGGGGCTGCAGAAACTTGATGGCCTGCTCCAGCGGATCCTCAACCTGATGAACAAAATAACGTATATTGATCAAATCAATTTATCTTACTCGACCACAAAGTAGAAGATCAATTGAAAGAATTACTGACCCTCTCGAGTTTCTCGGGGATCAATTCGTCTAACGTCGGCTGCTCAAAGTCGGGATCAGCCTGCTGTCGAGATTTATTATGCTGTTCCCTCTTTTCTTGCGCCTGAGCCGCCTGCTGTCTCTCAAGCTCGGCCTTCCTGCGCTGCTTACGCTGTTTATTTCTCATTTTCTTCAACTCCGAGGGCGCCAAATTTTCTGCAATCAGAAAGAACACATTATCAGCAATCTCATCACTGAAAGACATGTTTCATTATCTCTCTTATATTTCCTAATATCCAGAGATATTCCAAAAAAATCGAGTAGAGAATAAAACTAGAACGCAATAATTGGCTCATTCGTACGAAACAGAAGGGAAGGGATAATTATTTGAAACGAGAAAAAAGTTGGGAATTGTTATTGAATTGAATTGAATTTTGCATACTTTCTTTTAACTTCAGAAATGCTGAGGCCCGTGGATTTCACAATGGACAATGGATTTTTGCAGGTCTATATTTTTTTTCATTCTCGCATCGAGTTGCTTGCCGAAGGTCAGCTTTAATCCAGAACCAACGACAATACCACTGGGTAATTGAGCACAGAATGTTTCGCAAAGCATTCTATTCTTTTAAACCTCCATGTCAGGGCCCGTGTTGGCTTTCATGAAACGGATATCGGTCGTTTATGAGAAAACGTACGCTATTCAGGTTTGAAACACGTGTTACACGTGATGGTGGGGTTTACGTACTGTTATTCAATTTACCGAGAGTTGAATAATATTCCATCGCGTTTAACCCAAACAGCGGGGGAGTTTCTAAAGAGAATTTACAGAATTTTTAAATTTATTTATTCAATTTTATGATTTTTACGTATCCTCTCGTTTATTTTTCCATGTATCATTCTACCCGGATCTATTTATTTGGAAAAATACTGCGGTGGATTGTTGAGTGATTGATTGGATTTTTTTTTTCAATTTATTTTTCAAATATTGCGGACTTGCTCGTGATGTCACTACACCACATGTCTTTTTCACGTGGCGCCATCAGTCAAGGCTCTTAATCGATGTATTCGTTCAGAAATGTCAGAAGAGAGGCAAAACAGACAGAAATCCTATAAATATTGTTTCGTACCGAATTGCCGAAACACAACGACATCGACACCCAACAAAACGTTTATATGTGTCCCAAAAAAAGAGGAAATTCGGAAACTCTGGTGTATTGCATCCGGTTATAACGGAAAATTGAGGTTAAGCAGTGCAATCTGCGAAGATCACTTCAAAGTGAGTGTATTTCTTCATCAATTAAATTTTCCCATTATTTTATTAGACTGAAATGAATACGAAAATCTTCGTGGTTCCTTTTCCCGCGTTTCTGCTGAATTTGAATTTTTTATGGAGTGGTAAATGATGTAATTAAAAAATCAGGGAAATAAACTGAAAAGATCATTCCTAGAAGAGAATGTCATTTTCATTTTTTAAATAAAACATTACCCGCCGTTTAATCATTATAATTGTCGCGACTTCTATCGACGTTACTATCAACCATTACTATGAAAGACGTTCTAACCGGATGTGACAATTAATAATTCATTTATATTGTAGATTGTCATTAAGTTGTTAATCTGGTTATGCAATGTGATTTGTTTTGAATATAAATAGCTTGATGAGGACTTGGATAACTACATGGAGTGGAAGATGACAAAGTGTCGGAAGAGGCTCAAGGAAGGTGTTTACCCTCGATTCTTCTCATGTCAAGCCCCTTCGGAATTTGCTTCCGCGTTTGTATTACCCTGCAATGCACCAGGTTCGAGTGCAATTGAAGGAGTAAATATCACAGAGGAAGATCCATTATCAATAGATGAACGAATCCAGAGGCAAGAGGATCGAGGGCCCTTCTTCAAACTAGTGGAACCGTTTGACTTCATCGGTATCAAATCGGAATCACTGGATCTAGGTGAAGAAGTGGACGACGATGGGATGCGGTGAAGCATAAGATCGGAATAATGTACTGAATTTAATTATTTTTAATTGATGCAGTGTAAATAATGTTTTGATGATGAGCCAAAACGAAGAAAAACTTCCGCTGAATGTTTGCAGTTTTTGCAGAAGCGTCTGATCGGATTACTCTAAAGTCTTTTGTTGCAGGTATTAATAACTGATTAATACCTGAAGTACTAGAGCAATTGCAATACCTCTTGACATGAGTCATGTACTGTTGTACAATCCGGTACAACTGAAATAATATTTTTGATAACGCGAGTGACTAGATAAGTACTTTGTAGATTGTAATTGTAGTCGGTGATTCAGAAGATGATTAAATCGAATATCAAATAAATTAATTTTTCGACTTTATTTTGGAATTCAATTCTTCAGGGTGGATTGTTTACATCTCGTATTCCAGAGGTAGTAGAGAAGGCGAACGGAAAAACGCGCAAAAAATGAAATTGAAGAGAGGCGCGACTATAACGGGATTCTACTGCATAGAAGATTTTTTTATAGATGATTGGATGGGACAATTACTCGTGCCATATTTACGATATAATTTGAATCCTAATCTCCCCGTGTTGGTTCTCGTTTTAGTTATTTTTTAGTGCGTTGAAAAAATTGGCAAAATAGAAACAACCGATACGTAAATTATTGCGTTAATAAATTCATGCTGCTCACCGAGCATCAACCATTTTAATTGCAAAAGTCATTAATACGTAAAAAGAAATTATAACATAAAAATTTAGATTCCTCCACTTTCCAATTATTACGCAAGAAAATATTCGTACACATGATACCGTTGGAAAAAAAAAACACTCCCTGACCATGCTCCGTAAATTCGGGCATACATTGCACTTCAGCTGAAGGACTTATGCACTTCATACAATACTCCAGTGGATTCCAGTACTCCACTCTTCCTAGGTAATTTTTCATTACGTAAATTCAAAAGTGGGAGAAAATAGTCACGGATTATTCCGATCGGTGCGTAAAATGTTGCGAAAATGAGAGCAGATACAGATCTCCATGATTTCTAAATGAAATGTTCGTTCATAAAAAATTCACGCCTGCTGTTAAAATTATTGTTATTATTTTTCATTCCTATTAAATAAAAATTGAATGGACAAAATGAAGAGATACGAGTTTGTTTAAACTTTAAACGTTCTACGTCATAAAAAGTAGAATGTTTTAACTGTTGTGTTTTCAATTTTTACCATAAAAAACCGTCACAAAATACTGCCTGAAAATAATTTGCGGTAAAAACTCTACATAAAAGACTCCGGTCACATAAACAGGCGGCACTGTATTGTTGGTTTCAGAATTATTGAACACCTGTATTCCATAATATTGGGTAAAGGGTAAAACAATCGCAACGAGTCGTTCGGATAATAACCGTTCCTTTTTTTTTCCTCCGGTTTCAAGTTTATCTCACAATATGTTTTCACTTAAGTGTGCAATATTAGTTATTTTTTAAATAACCCGAGTTGTTTGTGGCTAATAAAGAAAAATGAATAAATGGCAGAAAAATTAATTAAAGGAACATTTATGATCCGATATAATTGTAACTGAGGCGTGCAAGAATGCAGCCCCCCACGATAATAACGCGAATGCTAAATAATTACCGGCAAATAACAAATCCCAGATTATTAATTCCCGATAGCGATTGAACCTTGCTGAGATTTTTATTTCACATCGGTAATTCATAAAGTGTATGGAATGTGCGGTCAACGGGGCGGTGCAAAAGCATTAGCTTGCGTGAATGCCAGATTACCAAGTACATACGCCCTGATAATAATGTACACGCGTATTGCTATGGTAATCTCATCCCCCTCATACCCCTGGAAACTCACCCAGACTGAATACAATGTACTCCCATTGCATAATCTATTCCCGAGTCAATCCGGAAGACTAGAGGGCACATTTCTCAGATTTACGAGTTCTCCGCAATTGCCCCGTTCTCCAATCGAGAATTTGCATTAAAAAATTTAATACAGTTTCTACAATTTTCAGGATTGTCAATTTTATTTTCATGAGCATTGAAAAATGTGGCGTTACTCTTTGGAATGTTCGATTGACATTTGAGGTACAATAAACCAACGCAATTCAATTGTCCCACACATTAAAGAAATGTTAAGCATCATTTTTTTTTTAACTTTCCTTTTTTCTGTCTTCCGGATAATGTCTTGCGGGTGGAGTCACCCAAGTTGAAATAAACCGCAGTTACTGTCAGTTTCTGCTATTTTTTTTCTCTTTTTTTTTCAGTATCGTCGACCACACCTTCAATCTGTCTCCGTATGCACCCATGAACTCTTTCTTTCTCCAGCTATTTCATTTTTATACATTTGTTTTGGTTTTTCTTTCAGTTAGTCAGTGTTGGTTACGAAATGTCACGAAATGTACTCGCTGTATCAATTCGCTGATCAATTGACGTCTGGATTGTTTCACTCCTAGTGACAGGCAGGTCTGATGTCATGTATGAATTGTTGATGAGATTATTCCGACGAATTAAAAATGAATAATTGCATTGAATGAGAGGGAAGGGCGATTGTCGATACGAATAATTCTCGACACCGAGGCGTCAATTGTGAACGGAGGAAAAAATGTCACGAAATTATTGATACGTCGATGGGTTTTTAAGAATCATTCGGATGGAATTACTGTTACGATTTTTTTGTACAATTTGTACAATTTAACAGAACGCATATACTAAAACTCATTTCCATGAGTGTAAATTCAGATAAAATTTGCGCGTGGAATTCATGTAACACGGAGACAAAGTTCGTACCACTGTGTGCAACGAAAATATACCTGAATTTTTAAGCACTGTGCTGTAATAAAAACCTGCAGCACAAGTGCTGTAAAAAATCGGATGAATTTTTTACAGTGTAACATTGGGAAATTTTTTCCCTCTGTGGACACATCAAGATGAATTAAGAGGCCATGGAACCTGTCGAACGAAAGGCACTCCATTTACTTTCGTTCTCATTCGTTTTTTTCTGGTTACTGAAAGTCTCGAGCGGTTCATCATATTCCGAGCCATAGAAATAAAAAAAAACAACTACTCACTACGAAAATAACAGGAATGAAACCTTCAACCCAAAATCTTCTTCTCCCTCATTACTAAATATAATTTTCGTGTACCATTCAAGGTGACGGAACGATATAATTGAGGCTTGCAAAACCCCTGAATCTGCATTTATGAATTATTCTCGGACAAGGCCATAAAATTCGAGAGGTGTCAACTGCGGTAATTAACCGCCACCGAGAAAAATCATAAAAAATCGAAAAGATGATTTTAATGACCTACTGAGTCTTTGACCGGTAATTGTCTGAGTTTCAAAGGGCCACCATGGCAATTATAAAAGCATAAAGTGCACAACGTAAAGTAGAACACAAGTGTATTAAATCTTAATTGCAGATGTAACAGCAATTGATGTAATTGCATTATAACGATCATTGAAATGTTTGTGAGGGAGTAGTTGCGTCAAGCGGTAAGATTCATTAAGTAATATCAGCTGGGGATTCCCAGAATAATTAATAAATGCACATCATAAAATAGTTATCGATAATTAACACGTGCGCGAATTAAACGGAAGTCATGTGGTCGCGCAAAATAAATGTCTTGAGCTTAAAAGAGATATCAGAGCAATGACGTCCAACTCTGAGGTGAGACATCATTAAATAATAATAATCAATCATGACTGCATTCACAAGAATTTATCGGCGATTCGAAGAGAAATTTTCTTTGGAAGATGCAAAAAAATATAAAAAGTTAAGAAAATGAAAATAAAATAAAATAAAATAAATTTTAGATCATAAAGATTTTTGATGAATTCTTAATTGAAAAAATTTTTACGAACTATCATAAATTTTTTAGAATCCAGAAACTGATTTTCTCGTATCAAATAATTTTTTTTTTATAGAAAAGATGAGAAAAAAAAATCAGCTATCTTTGTTTGGAATTTTCGCGTGCGCTGCGTCATCGATAAATGGGGAATCAAGGGAATAGGAATTATTTTCCTTGGATTAATTAATCAATTATGGGAATATGTGGGCGATAGTACACTGGGTGCAACAGAAAATATGCCGCTTCGTTTTGTTCAGCATTTGCGAGGGAGTGCTAACCATTTCCTGATTTACTTTATCGGTGTATTACGTCATTTGCGTGAGAAAATTGGTTTGGTTTGTCGGAGGGATTGAAGTATCGTGGACGATATTAGAATATTTGAATATTTGAATATAGTTTTAGGCTGATTCGCGTGGGATCACGCGCCATTTACCATTTTCATTGACAGAATTATTTACGTAATTGAAGTCGGATTTTTCTAATGGAAAATCCTTCAGCCTATTTGTGTCATTAATCGATTACCTCAAACAACTTTATTCGAATCAAATAAACAATTTATCAATTTCATTCCATATTATTTTTAAAAACCATTTGTTTGTTCTGAATCGAAAAAATTTTCCTGGAATTTGATTTTTTAATTTGGTAATTGATTTGTTAAGACAAGTAAATTGCGCGGTATATTGAAATAGAGTAGCCATTAAGTTTATTGTACGATACAAACGACCGGGTGTAATTGTTGCGGTCGTGCAATGCGATAAGGCCCACGCCACCTTCAACCACAACAATTTTCCTTTGTACGATTTGAGATGGTACTTGTAAATTCACCCACAACTCCAACAAGAGTGCACCACTTCGCTTTCGTAACAACGTCCGTGAAAATAACGGTCACGTTTTTTCCTTTTTTTTTATTATCATCAAGGAACAAAAGTGCAACATAAAAGAGGATGAAAATTCTCACGTTACAAGTGATGTATCGCAATAGATTCTCATTAGAAACATCTAGTCAATCGATATTGCTAACAATTACGACAGTTTGCAGGCATTTACTATTTTATTCATCCATTATTTCACGTTATTCATCGTTTTTATTAATGAACAAGGGATTGTAAAAATGATGAGAATATAGCCGAACGTCAGGGTGCAAATAGACCAGGGGAATTCGTTAAATTGATGATGAAGTCATTCCTGGAAGTCAAACGAATGAGAATATTAACGATCTGTCAATTTTCATATCGTTCGTGCTCGCATGACAAACGAGGAATTATTTTCATCTGGATGTTAATAAATGAAAGAGCTCGTACCACTTTGTATGGTGGAGATAAAAATTGAAACGTCAAAGAAAATTTGTGGAATTTGTCGGTGGTAGAGTGGAGCCTTCATCAATCTCAATTTAATTCAACGAAATCAATGGAAAAAATCTGGTCTAGTTTTTGAGTTCACGCACCTTCACAACGATCGCAGCACCGCAATGTATAAAAGGAAAAGGAATGTATGATTTAATTATCAATTTCATGAATTAATT